GGCAAAAATAATACTCCTTTTTATTGTTAAAAATAAAAAATTTAACAATAGACTAATGCATGGTATCTAATGGGCTAACCGCTAACCATAAAATAAAAGAGTTGAATGGGCCTGACCTACATGGGATTTGGTCATCAAGTAAAACAAATGAACATCATGGGTTTGCCATTCTAAAACAAGCTATTTTCTCTGGCATAATATATATTATGCTATTATTTTATATCTTAGTGGCTAAAATATAATGTATTTTAAAGTTATTCAATGGTTCAACCTCGACCAACCCAATTAGTCCAATTTTTATCATTTCAAATATATATTTTATAATTATTTGACATCATAATGATCAAATTATAGTGTATTTTATAGGGAATCGTTTGGTATTTGTTAGTAAAAAACTAAACATAAAAATCTATTTGGTTATTTTAAACATTAAAACGATCCTCAACATTTTCAGTTCCTTTTGAATTTATATGGTTTTATTCCCGAATAAGTGATGTGCAAATGGCGAATTGTAGTCGTCTTTTTTCTTTCACTATTTTTTTATTTTCAAATAGAAAGTTTAAAAGTAAAGAATAATTAGAATTTGGCATGGGTCGGTCAAACAGGTTGAATTTCAAGTTTTGGCCCATTTGTTTTATGCATTGCAAATTTATTAGCATGTTGATGGAAATGGCTTGGAAAAAAGACATATAAGTTGTATCTTTGCAGAAATGTCCTCAAATGTTTGAATGCTTTGTGAATCAGGTTCTGTGACTTTTGTGATGGTGTATGTGCTTGACGATTGCTCGATGTTGTAACTACTTAATTTAAGAGTAAATCTTTTGACTTTCCTTATGAGTTGTGATACCAGTTCTGGTGGTTGCAGCATGTTGTCGTTGTTGGCCTGTAAAAGTTGTTCCGTCGTGATGCTAAATACCTTTCTTTCTTTTTTAACAAATTGTGTAGTAGTGCTATGAAACAGACCACCCATGAACGCTACGCTTATTATGTTCTGTTCTTACTTCCGGTGGTGAGAAATTGTGAATTGAGAATCATTTTCGCCTACCGCACTGTGTCTGGTTGGTGGCTGCTTACTGTGCTCTCTAGAGTTATGAAACAGACTACTCATGAACTTTACCCTTAAGAGTCCACAACTTTGCGAAAAACCAAATATAGGAAATCAAAGGTGGTGGATGTGTGATGATTTTTTATGGCTTAATTGTTTGTGAATTAGATATCTGATCTTTGTATGATTAGAGGGGATGTTTGCTTAATAGAATAATCCATTTTAATTCATGTTTATTTTTAGGGCTAATACCACCACAACACCCGAACTATGACAAAAATGTCACTTGTGTCCTATTATTTTCAATATTCCATTTATGTCATGAACTATTATATTTTGTGTCATTTGTATCCTGCCAATTTCGTTGACCGTTAAAGATAACAGTTGACCAAACGGCGGTCAACTTAACATTGACTTTTGCTGACGTGGCAATGCCAAGTCATTGACACCTCACATTTTTAATTTAAATTAAATAAAAATTTGAAAATAAAAAATTGGAAAAACTTTAAATTCAAGAATATTACTAAATAATATTCTAAAACCCTAAAATAAAATAAAAAAACCTGCATTGATCTCGTCGTCTCCTCCAATTCCTCCTCCTGCCCTCCTTACCTTGATTTCTCCTCAAACTCAACCCACTTCGTCGTTGTTGTATTATAGGGAGAAGTTTCTCCTCACGATGGGAGGGCTTCTGGATCCCCTGCCATCAATCCAAATCGAGCTCCTAACTACCACCGTCGTCTTTCGCCCAAATCCAAATCGGAATCTTAGCTGCCACTGCCATCTTCCACCCAATCGCCTAAGTTCGACCCCATTGCCTTCTTCGTCGCACCGTCGCTGCCTTCTTCCTCCACAACGCTGGCGACACCTCACATTTCCTCTATCTCCAATCGAAATCCCAGTCCATCGACTGAACACTTTGTCGCCCTCATATCGATTGGCACAAATAGAAAACCTTCTTTGTTGCCTTACTGGAGATTGTCGAGCTGAGATTTAAACTTCAACCCGCAGATTTGAAATCTGGTGAAGAGATCTCAAAGCGAGCTTTTCCTTCTCCGAATCTGGCCCCGACTGCGACAAAACGATGGTGTTCAGATGGTGGAGGACGCCAGATCTAAGCAGCGAATCGAGGTCGTGGAGAAGGCTGAAGAGAGTTGAGGAAGCGAAGTCTTGGTCGCTGGAAGAGCATCTTGCCGCCGGTAAGAGGAAGCGGCAGAGCAAGCTCGGGAGGGATTGCAGTCGCCGCGAAGTGGGAGGATTGTGGTGACGGCGGATTGGGTCAGGTAAGAGGAAGCGGCGGACCAAGCTCGGGAGGGGGATTGGGTAGATGAGATTAGGGATTTTTAACTTTTTGTTCTTTTTCTTTTTTTAATTGTTATTTAATTATTTAAAAATAACACATCATATGCCACGTCAATGCTGACTAGATTTTCTGTTAAAAACTAACGGTCAACAAAAGTCAACACTAACGGAATCATAGTTCAGGACACAAATGGAATATTGGAAACAATAGGACACAAGTGGCATTTTCGCGATAGTTCGGGTGTTGTAGTGGTATTAGCCCTTATTTTTAACATGAACTTTAGTAACTCAAAACCTTTGAGACACATATCACCTACTGCATTGTATCATTTTGCCTGGGTGCTTGCTGTGTTGTCAAACTTCTTTGCTGCTGATGCATTTACACTAACAGGGGAGTTAAGAACCCATGAATGTTTCCGTTTGACACAAACAAGAGGACTTACTTCTAAATCGTGCACTAAAGATGATTGGAGGAAACATCTCTGTTGCAGTTGATACACTGGAGACCATAACAAAAGCAACGTATAACATCAAAACCAACCATCTGAACTATTAGCATTGTTGCTTTACTCTTTTTTCGTGGTTGAGTCTCCTTCAAAAAATTTAGTTTGATTTTAGAAAATTTTGCTTCTGCAATCCTGTCTTGCCACCAACGCGTTCAGTAGATGGAGATGGCAGAGGCGAAGGCTATTTTGAGTTATTGTTGCTGGTTTAGGGATCGGTTTGTGAAGAAGAGGGAGAAGAGAGGGGGAAAGGGAAATGCATGAGAGGGGGATAACTCTTTTCTCCGACAAAAATGGAGTGAAGAAAGGAATCATGATCAGTAAGGATATGGTTATCTTACATAACTGTGTCTATTCTGTTTGAATTGAGCTTGGGAGGTAGTGATAAGGACGAGCTGCAACCAATTCATAGTGATAAGAGTGCTATGAACTGTGATCATGTCTTATTTCAAGTTAGAAGGTAGTTTCAGTATAAGGATTATTTAATTTGACAAGTTGTTTCGTCCATGATTCTTGGTAGTTTCAGTGCCATTCTAGCCATTGTTTAGTCTGTAATTTTTGAGAATTGATGTGCGAGTAATGACTTTCACTTAGCTTCAACTATTATGTGTGTATTTATTGGCATGTGATAGAATTCTCTTTTCCTTTTCTTTGGATTCAGTTTCATACTCTATTTGTATCATTTGTACATAGGCAAATCATGCTCGAGATGACAACTCGCTGATATGGCTGGTGCAAGGAATGAATCCATCATTAAAATTCAGACCGACAACGGGGAGGGATGCCCAGGACTAATTCAATGATGATTGATGATGGTATGATAAAAACTGCAGTCTGCATCAGCACCAATTTCTAGGCCTAAGTAAAGTTATTCAACCCAGAACTCTGCTTAGCGCTAAAAATTGCCCTCACCCAACCTTTATCCTGTCTGACCCACTTCTGAAGAGTCAAGATATATTACTAATTCTCTCCGTTCGTATTTTCTTATTGGCTCTTTCTGACCCTTTAGGTTGGGGCGGGTCGGGAAGAATCGGATTAGTGGGCCGGTCCTAATCAAGTGGAATCCCAATCCCTTCACTCTCACTTGCTTTCTCTCCCATTCCACAAGTGGGTAACATACAGTAATCCGGCCAACGGGCCGGGTAATAAGCTAGTTTGATTATATAATCCATTAGGTAACTGTTGTACAACAGCGCGCGCACTAGGAATCTCAAAATAATCTGAATTTTAGCATCAGATTATTTATTTGTTTTGAAACATGTTCCAACCGTTATAGTTGTTGAGATCAATTAGTACTTAGAAATATGAATCATAACCCGTAATGATCAAGAAATCGTGTATTTGAATCAACAGACCTTTGCGAATTTTCAAAACCATCAGCTGTTTGACACCTTGAATGATTATCATAATATATATTCTTTTGGTTTTGCTTGTAAGAGAAGTCGCTATCCTCGGTTGAATATGCCCTTTTTTGTTTCTGAGAATCGACACCGAGAAAACGACTAAACGAGTGAGGTAGGAATGCAGGACTAGAGCTGGCTAGCCATGCAATTCCCCTCTGCTATTTTGTTTCGGGTACAGCCCTTTCTGTACATAACGCTGCCCTCACAGTACTGATCACTACTACACGATGATAATGAACCAAATAGCAAGAATTAGGTACCCTCCCAGCAATGGCATCTCAAAACAAAAACAAAAAAACAGCAGCATTTGTTTCGTATAGTAGCTTTCCCTTCTGTCCCAATTCCTGCTGAGCTTTACTAGGATAACACAAACAAACATACAAAAAACAGCAGGGCAAACCCACTTCCTATCAGAAGATGGAGCCATTTCCCACATCAAATGAAGACAAGAAAACATTGAGAGGTAGATTTGGGCTGATGCTATCATAGCATATGAATGACGACTGCCTTCTTTTGCCCTGTTCCGCATCAAATGCATCTACTTGCTAGCCACAACATATACCTAGCTAGAACAGAACACCTCTAATCTGAGCTGCTGATGGTAAAACCAACTACATGAGATAATCGAGATGTCAGACGGGTCAACTAAGATAAAATCAAGGTCTGAGGCAAAGGATTACATTACACACAATTGAGAACTTCAACCATGGATCTCAACTGTTGCAACAGAGAGCCAAAACTATAAAGCAAAATCCCATCAGTATATTGTGACTGATCTTTCTAGGTTAAGGAATTCCAGCCTTTCAATGCGATTTGGTACAATTGATTAAGGGGGGGACCAAAAAAGGTAGTAAACAAAAAAAAAAAAAAAACTCGATGTAATAGATACAAAAAGAAAGGAAAAGCTAAAATGAACTCTCAATCTTCCCCTCACTGAAACCTGCCTGATCTTTACATACAGTTGTGTGTGTAATCCAGTTTCTGTTAACTAATGACAAGTATATATATATATATATATATCAGCTAGACATAATTAGCTACTGACTAAGTTTGTGATTTACCGTATCCGGGCCAAGGAAATAAGGCTGCCTGGATTATTTTCCTGCTGGTCTGAATGTTGTCGAGTCTTGCATCATAGCGGCAAATTCGCTGTAGTCAATGCGCCCATCCTAGAAGAGAGACCAAACATATGTCAATCATGGTGTTTTGCTGCTTCTAAACTAACCATATTTGAGTCTTGAAATAACAGCTTACATTATCTTGGTCAACTTCATTAATTATGTCCATAATGTGAAGATCCCCCAGCCCAAACTGCTCACACGCCTGTTGGAGCTCGTCAGCAGTAATGTAGCCACTCCCGTCTTTGTCGAAGTATGAGAATGCTGTAAACAGATGATCCTCCTTCTGTATTTTGTTCAAGTGGATCATTGCAGCTATGAACTCCCCGTAGTCAATCGTACCACTATTATCAATATCCGCCTGTGTAACATGTCACAATATATTGCACAGCTTAATCAGATTATCATAATACTAAAAAAATATGAGACAAACGACCACTATTGAAGAACAGAAAAACTTACTGCTTGCATCAACCCGACGATTTCACCCTCCTTGAGGTTAGCACCCACTTTTTCCAACCCATTCTTCAGTTCCTCGAGAGTGATATTTCCGCTGTTATCTGCATCTATCATCTTGAACATTTCTCTCAAGCCTGCAATTTCCTCTTCAGACATGCTTTCAGCAATAACCTGAATTCAAGTAGAAAAGCCTTTTGATGAGTAGAGGAAGACATTGAAGCGTGAGCTGATAACAAACAGGTCAACCCGCCTGCGCAGTCAACTTATAGATAAAGAGGTGCCTCTGCCTCCAATTTGTGTCCTGATTAGCTCCTAATACAAACCATAATGAGATCTGCCATGGTTGAGAATAAAAGTACTCACCCGAATTGCAATTTTCTTCAGCTTGTTCATGGCTGAGAACTGTTTCAAGCGACTTATAACAGCAGAATCAAGAGGTTTATCTGGAGCAAGCCCATCCACTTGTACCCAAGGGTGGCCTACACGGAGAATCAAAGGAGACAAGTATCTCATTGGTATTCTTTTACCAAAGACGAGAAATGATGGTTAGCAAACATGTTGCTTATTATATAAATCACAATAACAGTCACAAGACCAATAAGTAACTTTCCCCTCTTACTCAAGCTTAACATTTCCAGGATTTCAGTTAACAAAGGTGTGCTTTGATATTTTTAAGCAAACAGATTATTAAAGAATACAACAAGCAGCTTCCAACATTCAAGTGATGATACTAAATTTCAGCAAAGCCAACAACAAAAGGACCGCAGTGCATCTTCATTGACAAAAGTTAACAAATGGAAAATTGAAGCCACAAAGGACATAGGTGGTAGCCAAGCAAATTCTTTTAGCTGAAAAATAAAACACAGTAAAGATAATGATATGCATGCTCACAGAGAACTTCATGGGCTGTTAGGCGCTTTTTAGGGTCTCTAACAAGCATCCTTCGAACTAGGTCTTTAGCACCCTCTGATATGTTTGGCCATGGTTCTGAAACAAAATCTAGGTCGCCTTTTAGAACCTGCTCAAATATTCCTTGCTCCGTTTCTGATCATCTCAATCATCAATCAAAGATACTAAGAAGTTAGATGCAGCAAAATACGTTAACTAGGAAATTAGGCGAAGTTTACAAATAAAAGAAACTCACCATCCCAAAATGGAGGGACTCCACTCAACAAGATATATATGATAACACCAGCACTCCAAACATCACATTGCGCACTATAATTCTTACGCAACACCTCAGGTGCTACATAGTAGGGGCTCCCAACAACGTCAGTGAACATTTCACCTAGTTCAACATTAAAAGCCACCACCTCTATAAGGGAAGTTGATCTCATTCTGATGGACTTCAAGAATTTTAAAAACATAAGGGAAGCACAAGACTCAACTAAGGTTTAGTTCTGTAACAGTTGTAAGTATGTAAAAGTTACAGCCAAGAAGTATTTACCAGGCCGAAAGAACATGGAGAGCCCGAAATCGATTGTCTTAAGTGTTGCATCCTCTCTCTGATTAACAAACAGAAAGTTCTCGGGCTTTAGGTCTCTGTGCATAACACCCAAGGAATGACAAGCTTCGACAACACCAACTATCAATCTAGCAAGCTCAGCTGCCTTTCTCTCCGTGTAGTGACCTCTCTGAATGATTCTATCGAAGAGCTCCCCACCTGCACAAAGCTCCATCACAACATGAACTGCAACCGCGTCCTCGTAAGCCTCAATGATCTTGATCACATTGGAATGCCCTTCCAAGTGGTGCATAATCTGAATCTCCCTCCTAACATCATCCACATCCTCTTGAGTCGTCAACTTCCTCTTCGCAATCGATTTACAAGCAAACTCCTTCCCAGTTGCCTTCTCAATGCAAAGGAAAGTGGTGCCAAACTGGCCTTGCCCTAGCTTTTTCCCCAAACTATAAATCTCCTTCAAGTTCCCTGTTTTCCTCCCTAACACTGACCCTACTTGGAGCCCTGCACTAGAACACCTCTTCACATGTGAGGGTTTCTTCGGCTTGGCTTCCTCCCCTGGCTTGTTAGTAATTGGAACATCTCGCATTTCGGGTTTAATCGATCTCTCATGCTCCATTGGTTTCCCTTGCCCATCGTTCCCCATCTTGACTGGAGGAGGTGGGGTGTTGGGGGTTGGGCCATCGGAATTCTTGGATCCTTCAGAATCTCCGCCTTTGGAAGCGTCTTTGTTGCTCGAGCCGTCTTTTTTGCTACTGCCTTCGTCCTTGTTTGGAGCAGGAAGACGCTCGTCTGGTTGCCGACGCCACACAGCAGCAGTAACAGATTGTATGAATCCATTAGAGCTGAGATTTGGTCCGGTGCATGTGTTCCCCATCAAGTAAACCAAATACCCCTGACCTACTTTCAGGTCCTTACCAGCTCTCTCCTCCGAAATATACCAGCACCCAGCTCAAAATGACATGGCAATTTGATCGCCGTTGATCCCATTCACGATTGGGCAAAAAGATGGAGAAAACAAAGAATCTTGCAGATATTCCTGCGCAGAAACCCTGACAATAATTTCCCCCCTAGACCTTTTGGCTCCAAACAATTAATCGTTTGGAAACCCTAATTCCCGAATTGTCACAATGCCTTGATTCTCGATGAACCAGCCTAGTAGATCAGATTGAGACGAACCTCTTCTTCTACCTTAGGTATGCCGTTTCAAAGACGGGGGTGGAAACTCTTTTGAATGAAGAATCGCGAATTCGGGATCAAACTCCGACGGACATCGGACAGAATCCAATCTGAGAGAGAGAGAGAGAGAGAGAGAGAGAGAGAGAGAGAGAGAGAACAAGCTAAATCTATAAGGGATAACAGATTAGGGATTCTGGTGATTTACCGTCGCGCTTGATCGGGAAAATGTGGCTGCGATACCGTGGGAAAGGGAACAAAAAACACTGGGAAAATCGGGGGAAAGAGGTCATTTCAAAGTTCGTCGATTCGAGCCATTTTTTCTGGGGAAGCAGCAGCAAGAGATTGTTGGGAAGAACGAGACAGTTAATCGACGGGCTGATGAAGAAATTAATTATCGTTAGTTACCGGATTTGCCAAACCAAAAGGAAATTTGATGCGTCAGCTATTTTTCAAAAAGAAAAAAAAAGTATTTTTTGAAATTAAACTTTGGTGGGAACAGCAACCGACCGACCATTACTTCTATGCGCGCCAAATAATAATACAACAATTTGTTCAAATCCACAGCAGTGGCCCGCTTGTTAACTATCTGGGCTGGGCCGCATTTGACATAGCATGAAAATCGAAGCCCAGTTTCAAGCTAGACCCAAGATCCACGTAAAAACTATTAGTTTACTCTACTAGTCTACTGTCTACTAGGCGCACATAGGTGGTAATTCGCGTTTGACATCGATACACACGCAAATAACTCGAATCGCAGTGGGTGAGTGATTGATGTGAATGAATTGCGGATTGATAAATTTCTTATTTGCACTTATTTGGTAGGTGGTGGATGAATTGCAAATCACTCAAATGCCTGCACTGTACTTTCACATAACAAAAATTTGTTTCTTGTTTGTACTATCAAATAGTCATCGTACTTTCTTATATTACACTATATATAGAGAGAGAAAAAGCACACGACCGAGATTGAGATTTGAGAGAGATGGGATTATCCGAACATAATATCTTCATGACATCAATTCTGAGGGTAGCCATGGTGGCGTGTTGACAAGAAATGTCATGTCTCCTCACCTCGTCTTGTCTCGTATCCTCTTGTGTAGCATCTCCTAGTTCTTAAAAAAACATGGGCTAATTAGGCTCGAGCATAATGATCGAATGCTCCTAAATAACTAGAAGGTTGTTGTGGAGGTTGATAGCTATGGAAGAATGTCGCACCATACATGTGTTAGGGAGCTGCATCAACTTTATCTTCATCTTCCTAGACCTTGGCTACTCTGAATGTCACACCACTATGTAGGTGTCGGGAAAAGTTAAGTCTCGGACATCCCAAATTCCTTGATCATTCTTCACCATAGTTTTGAGATAATACTTCAATGGTTGGAATGAGAATGAAACGGTCCAAGTACCAAATATGCTCTTTGCATCATCGAAGTCAATGTTGAAATAATTGGTGAGCATAGTGACATAGGCACCATCGTGAAGAACTACAAGCCTTCTGTAGGTGATGCAGTGGTTCGATGTCCAAAATGATGGGGGGGGGGGGGGGGGGGGGGGTCCTGGGTGAAGAGATCTCTAGCTCCTCCTGCTCCACATGAAGTTGACATCTCGGGCAGTCATATTGTTTTGCTTCCACACCTTCCACCCACGGATCTCGAAATCACGTGGTGGATCAATCTCCACTCCAGTTTCAGCTCCCTAGCCATTTGATAACTTGATATCACACTTACAATCTCCTGCCCCCCTTCAGCTTTATTTCATAGAAGTTTCCAAACTCGAAAAGTGATTCTCTGGAATCAGTGAGGCAAAACTTGAAGAACACTCCACGAAATCTTGAGGGAAAATATTGAGGATCGATGTGAATTCCATGATGGACATTGCTCTTGTTCTCCCTCCTAGTCTGAACTCAATATTTAGAAACTTGTGTGTTGCTCCTTTGAACTCTTTGACCGTGACTATACCCAGGAACACATCATAAGAACTCTGTAAATCCTCTCATTGATGTCGAGGAGGTTGATCCAATTGATCAAACAGATCCCCGTCGGAGCATTCACTTTCATCCGTCGGGAGTTCTTGAATCCTCGGGTACTTGTCAGTGTACTCCACTGGAATAGCCTCATGAAAGCATGTCGGAGTGGAGGCATCATAACTCAATACTCTTATTCTATTGTGGCCTTGTTGTTGGTCTTGCATATGTGGTTGTTGAACTTGCAATGTTGGATCTGGTTGAGGATCTTCGTGTTTTTGGTGAGTTATACAACCACTTATCTGATAGTGGCGTGTGGAAGGAGGCAATGCAGTCTTGAGAGGAGGAGCGTTAGAGCTATCTCCTTGGAGTAGCCCTTTTCCTAGGTCGGATCTCCCACACAAATAAAAATTCCAACCAACATTGCCAAACACATACCATTAAGTATCACAATGGTAAATGAACATCATTAATCATCCATGGACTCAACTCTGTACACCCTCACACTTAAATGATACTATGTAAAATCATGGGTGCATATGTGAAAAGACATGTTAGTAGAGATGACTTGGAGTTCGATTCATGGGAAACTAGGGTTGCATGCCAAAATATAAGTTCATATACTGTGTCCAAGGGTAAGAAACATCACAATAGACCAATGCACAAGGATGAATCGATTTCTCTATTATCACACGAAAGTACAAGATTGAATTGTGCAATAGAGACAAAACTCTATTAACTGTGGAATCAAAAACCAAATTCAGACCCCTAACACACTTCCACAGGTTTAATATGTTCATCCAAGTTCGATTACCAATCACTGCATCTAAGAAAAACATATTTCATGTGGTTTGGGCAGTTCATTGAGCAAATAGTGGGGGGCATATTCATGCTACCAAAAGAAACTATAGCTAGCTAATACTTGTTTTCGCTTCATGTCATTGGACTAATCAATCAAACAAGGAAGGGTATCACATTAACTATTTAGGGAATCTATGAACCATATTAATGGTTTATAGCATTAATGATATAAGATATCAAGCATTGAACTCATACACTTATAGATGGTTGATCCTTTCCTCCATAAACGCACAAGACAATGACACATCACATAAGAGTAGTACACTGACAACTTATCATGATGATGATGATATAAGGATTGTATGGTTAGGGAATCAAATAACTAAACCATTCAAATACTACAAGCATAACATGACTAAAACATCGACTGATAAAGACATTTATTGACCAAAGCAACTCATTAAATCATATAAATAATATGCATAAAGAGCATCAATTGAGTGAGTCCCTACTTGACTTTGGTGAATATTGATCTACTCTAGGGCAAGCCCCTAACTCATCACATCCAATCAGCATGCAATGTCGTCTTGCCCTATTCGTGATGGGAGTTCACAGACTGGAATCTCATTCGTGAACTTACTTTACACCTCTATCACCATCCTAGTCTCCCAATTTCGGGATATCGTACGTGTACCCTCATCCGTAAAGTCCAACAATGTCTCCTCCATCCAACCACCGAATTCACTTGTGCCTGGTCCCACGCGTTCGTTTTCTCGCCTACTACGATGCCAATACTTGAACATCATTTGAACTAGCTCCAAACAACATCGAAATGACCAAAACGGCCTTATGAGAGTTCAAATACGCACAAAATCAAATAGGAAAGAATTTGATATTTGAAATAATCAATATGATAGATGAAAGTAATGAAATGTCACTTAAGTATAAGAAAGATAAACACTTTAATTTTGTATCACCTGGCTTAGATCCTTATTCGTCGCCCAACAAAGAACAAACGGATGTGCCTTCGATGGCCCTCGTAGTTGGTTGATGATCCATTAGCTGCTAATCATATGGTTGGTGGAAAGTCAGTGGCGAAATCAGAAATTCAAACGCTGGAGACTAAAAAGTCTATTTTTTGATGGATTTGAATTAATGCCTTTAGATAAATTACCTCGACCCGCTCCACGATAAATTATTTGACCCGAACAGCTGAATCCGACCTGCCACAAGACAGGTATGAATATCGAGATATCCGCCCCAAACCTGTCCATTGTCATTACTGCTGTTGATGTGGACATTTTGCTCTTGGGACCATATCAAATTTAACCCTTGTAGGGAAAGAGACAAAGTCAAGGTATGACTGGCAGCTATCATTTATGGAGACAACCCGCTTTACTCTACTCTGTTTCCCCAGCCGAAGCTAGAAGGAATTGGTAAAAGCCCAGCTGAAAAGTTCAGGCTCGAATTCTAAACCTAAACCGCCTGAGACCTTTTCCCCTGGTATCTAATTAAATATTAACTGACCCCCATCTTGATCAATTCACGCTGAAGAAATCACGGCCTATATGATCCTTTTTGTATGGGAAAAAAGAACTGCTGGAGTCGTTGATCGTCAATTTATTATTTGAATACTTGTTATAGGAATCAATTCAGATCAATGATTGTACCAGTAGAATCATCAAATAATTATAATAGCGGTTCTTTTCATTTTCTCGACGATTATTGAAGGATTGAATGTTTTTAATGGTTGGACATAAAATCAGATGAATTATCCCAGTTTGAATGATCCAATGGTTCACTATTTTTATAAAAATAATTATGAAAAAAAATATTATAACATACAGAGCGTAGCCAGAAAATTAGTTAAGGGGGGTCCATTTATAAAATATAAATATATTTATATTGAAAAAAGATATTTATATTTAATTAATATAATTGTTTAAATTTAAAGTTTGAATAAATTTAAATTAGACAAATCAATACAGGTAATGACGGAAAAATAAAATAAAAAAGTTGAATAAAAATTGATGTTATCAAACAAGAAAAGTTGAAGTAAGAAGAGAATGAGTTAAATTTGGCTATTAAAGAGTAAACCTTGCCTGAGATAAGTTCAAATATTAATAGTACACAAATCAATACAAGAAAGGAAAGAAAATCAAATAAAAATTTTGAATAAAAATTATTGTTATTAAATAAGAAAAGTTGAAATAAGAAGGGAATGAGTTTAATTTGGCTATTAAAGAACAAAACTTACGTGAGATAAGATTTGAACTTGGGACCTCTCATTTATTAAACAACATACTAACCATATTAACCACTTTGATTTCTTTGTTATATTTTGAAAGTCCTGGTTCTATACCTATTTGTTGATTTTTCATATCAAGATACGAGAAATATATTGTCATTTCCCGAACCAAGGTGGGTCCGGGGACCCACCCAATTGTACTCTGAATCCGCCCCTGACATACACTAAGACCATCCAATCTTAATTACTAATTCTATTCATGCTTCCTCGTCTTCGTTCCTCAACATTTTTTTGTCGATTCTGGATGATTCTCTACTGAATTCCACCATAATTACTAACTTAAATTTAATAAAGAAACTATAATTTATTTTGTGAGATATTTTGAATTCTGAACATTTGTGTGATGAATTATATGAATTTAAAATTATGAAATTACTAAAGAAAAGAAAAACACACAGATTAGTATGCCTCTCTAGCAAGGTTGTCAACCCACGGGTTGACCCGCGGGTCGACCCATTTTGACCATGACCCGATGAGAAAAACGGGCCGTACGCACCCGCCGGGTCGACCGTTACAAGGTACCGGGTTGGAGGTCAAATCATGTCATTTTTTTCTTTGGTTTGCGAAATATGCTTATTTTCCGATTTTTCCTTTCGCCTAACTCAATCTTTGGAATCCTAAGTTGAACATTTGAATATTTATATTATATAAGTGTGTGTGAATTTTCACTATATGTTGGATCTAAGTATGATATGTTATTTTGGTGTAATATTCTATGTTATAAGTCATATGTCAGATAAGATTTGATATAATTTATGAGGATAAGTACAATATAATGACTTTTTCTATATTTCCGGGCCAAACCGGGCTAAAACGGTTGACCCATTAACCCTTGACCCACTAGCTCGACTGGGTCCGGGTCAACTCGCGGGTTGACAACCTTGCTCTATAGTCTTTGCATGCCCAGCAAAAAATGGAAATAATAGCATTTGTGGAATTAGTACCAAAAAACCCAGAAACTGAATATATAACATTGGGTATATTTAACCTTGCTTTCTTCCTTCTCGGAATTGGGTTGTCTTTGAAGGCAAACAATTTGGGATCCCGGCACTCATGCGCCAGTTTCATCAGCAGTATGAGGAATGGACGGACCTACCAACGGACCAGGTACCGAGGCCGCCGATCACGATAGTACAATCTACATCACCAGTGGGAGATTCTCATTTGGTTTGTATGTGGGATGGGGCTACTAAGGGGGGGTCACATTCGGCTGGTGGGATGGTTCTTTTTGACCCAGCGCGGACACTCCTTCTGGCTAGAGGGGTTCAGTTTACTCAAATGGATGATCCTGGAGTGGTGGAGTTGCTTGTTCTGAGGGATGCTATTATGTGGTGTATCGAGCAAGGTTTGTCGGAGGTCCGTTTTGAGGGCGATGCAAAGGTGATTATTGACAAACTTAATCAAGCTGACACGAGAGATAGCCGGTTGGGCGCTGTTCTGGAAGAGGTTGCTCATTATTTGCGTACTCAGCCTGGCTTTAGTGTGCGTTTTGTAGGTCGGGAAAACAATAGGGTAGCTCATTTGGTAGCTAGGAAAGCCCTCTCTTTGTATCCGACTATGAGTCGCTTCTTTGATTTCCAGACCTGACTGGTTTCCAGGATGTAACTGTCTATTTTTTCGATTAATATATGATATCTTTTGGCAAAAAAAAAAAGTTTGTAGCAAGGTAAAATATATATTTTGTGGAAAATTAGCCGAATGAATGTTTCTTTTAACATTGGGTATAGTTCCAAACTAAACAGTCCAAAACGACCTGCTCTTAAATTTATTATTATCCAGTGAAAGCCAAGATTCAACTCAGAATTGACATTAATCATGGTACCACGCAGTTTCGTTTCATTAGGAGACAGGAGTAGTAGAACTAGCTAGCATCGAATATTTCACTACTGTACTTGTATGGAAACATTCATTCGGCTATAATTGGATGTAACTTTTTTTTTTGTGCATTTGTCGTGTTTTCCTAATTAGATGGCCGGGGACGGCTGACAAATGAAAATTTCACATCCTAATCAAGAATAAACCGTTATTAATTAAGTATTATCACAAATTGTAATTAGGTATATATGCTTGCAACAAAAAAAAAAACAGCCGGCTCTTCCAAAACCTGTTCAATAAACTACATCAGTCACGACCGGTTCAAAGCTGACATTTCATCTCCATCATAGAATTTTTACTTTTTTTTTCTTTTCAAACCCAAAAATCTTTCCCGGTACATATATATAAAGGCCGAATTGAAGTCTCCCTTGAAGAACAAATCAAAGCGCAAGAGATGAACCAATTGGTTGGGAGAAATGGCGGGAGGCAGCAGCTGAAGGGTCCGAAGCCGCCGCCGGTGAACACCAACACCAGTACTCATGATCATCAGCAGCAGCAGCACCGGCGGCGAGCCGGCGGCCCGGTGATAGTGTACGTGAAGTCGCCGGACGTGATTCACGTCCGCCCCGAGGAGTTCATGGGGCTCGTCCAGAGCCTCACCGGTAAGCGAGATGACGCCGGCCCCACTAATGGTCCCGCCGAGGTCCTCCCTTGTGCAATAATGCCGGCGCCGGCGGTTGATGATGACATGGGTTTCGGCCACCGGCCGGAGAGGATGCTGGACGAGGAGGAATGGACGGGCGATCAGGCGCCGTGCAATCGTAGTAATTACTACATGAGTGGAAGTGGGAACGATGTTAATTACTCTGAGAATTGGGAAGGATTCGACTATTATTCGTAATCCCCAATCGATCGATTTGTGAACTTTGAGTATAATGTAAAATGTGGGGTACAATGGTTTCAACAAATGGGATTCATTTGATGTCTTTTTGATAGATTTTTTACAAAAATCTCAATTATGTTTAAATTTCTGGTGGATCGGGCCGTCCTTCTTCTTCTTCCGACAATCCGCTACGTTGTGGTTTTTTTTTCAATCACGTTTTAGTATGTAGTTAAATTTATTTGGTTCGAATATCAGGATCATATTTCTCTATGGTCGCTCACAACCACTTACTCATATGGCGAGGGACGCGTGTCTTTGGTTTAGAAAACGCAACTTTGAAGATTGAGGACTTGAGATGCCTCAGGGGTTGAAGTTCTCCTTGGTTTTATAAAATCTAAATTAAAAGCAATGCGAAAAGGAAAAGCTAACTACTGGCGAGTGGAGGAAAGCAAGAAGGACGAGGAGTTAGACAGGGAAGCTCCCACTATAGTTTCTTAGACTCGTACGTCGATCCTAACAACATAAGAGTTGTTTGATCTCTGTTAGGTTTACTTCTACCATGTGTTGCCACAAATGTCCGATTTAGCAGGCAACGATATGTACCTTATGTATTTCTTCATTGAGGAAGTCAATGCAGTCTCATTAATTGACGATCGATCATGGGGGGATCATCGTGTCAAGTCCAATCTTACCCACGAAATCGGGTTTGAGAATATGTGACCTTTGAAGTCAGACATCGTCTTAAGCACACAATCAATTCAACAATAAACCAAACACAAGAACAAAGCAGAAAGAAAAGGAATCAAATCATCACATATATGCCAAAATCAAATGATACATAGTCTAGAACCTATAGGATTCGCCATCTACGTAACTAAGGAAACTAGTCGACCATGTGGACAAGATCAAAAGGATACATCAGTTGAAACAAGAATCTCAAGGACCTCTCAAAATCTGCATCTAGAAAAGAGATTTCGTGAATTAGGCCATTGATTTTGGAGCCAATTTTCCTCTTGTAATTGGCTTTGCTCTAAGTCGCGCGAGCTTTCGACAGAGTAATGGCCTTTTAATGCCTCCTATCACTGGCTACCAAACTCCCCCCCCCCCCCCCCCTTAGAAATCCATTTATAGACGTTTTAGCTATTAGGCTTTTGGGGGGAAAGAGGACGGTCATCTAACGCGTTTCTGAGTCCCTACTAGCCTCCTCCAGCTTGGCCACCAATAAAGTTATAGTTTCTGAAGGATCTGATGTTTTTTCGACGAACCTCAAAATGGCGGCCCAAGGGTTATTTTGGTGATTAGGCTACTGAATCTAGTGTCGTTTCTATCCTCTTTTCATTTCTCGCTCCTGGCTCCTAGTAATGGAGTCTTGAAGCCCCCAACACATACAAAGTGGTCCCTGAACTCCTCGATTACCTACAATTATATAACAAAACCCAATTCTAGTACCACTAGGTTGATATGCCCTGGAAAAAAACTTAACACTATCAAGAGTGCATCAAATTGATAAAAGCAAGCTTGATGCTACTAGAGTACTCTTTGAGTGATCATGTAGCAAATTCAAGATATTATGACAATGAATATATGAAACTCATGAAGTTCTGGTCATGATATGGGGGTCTAAAAGAGTACTTTTCACTTATCATCAAATAACCCCCACAATGAAACTTCGCTTGTCCTCAAGCAACCCTCACTCACAACCATACAACTCACTAAACCTCCATGATGACACGTGACTTTCAATCGTAGGTAGTGGATTATAAGCAACTTACAAGGTCAACCCTCTCACTTAGTGACTATACCATATCCAAGAAGTACATATCTTGTAAGGACAACTAGTTTATCCTTACTAATCGTGAGCTCCCATCTCACTCAAGTATTTTGAAATTTGGGGAGAAGCTCTTTGTAGCTTTATTTAGACGGTAGAGTACATCTCTACCATTTGACAATTAGAGAGTTTTAGATCTCTCTTTTATATGCAAAATGTCATCTTTTGTACTTTTTGTAGCACAAGTGGATTTATACGTAGCCTTGATCAAGCAAGAGCAATTTATGCACCTTAACACTCCCATAAGGGCTTTGTTTAACTCCTTTTCCTCGATTTATGTGGAGAGGCGATGCAAATGAGGGGTTTCAGAAGCTTTATGTGTTTCCTCCAAGCACAATTCTCAAATGACACTTCATTTGACAATGGGTTGTACTAGATAAGCAACATCGTATGGTCACTAATCGATACTCAATTGAACCGCTCCTATTACGTCCGTGCAATTAGTGATTGCATCACACGTGGCTTTAACCTACAGTTTATTTGTGAGGCAACGTTTTTTATTTCACTTTGTCATGGTAGAATTTTCGGATGCATATAGATACAATTCGACCTTATTTCTCCTTAAAGAGCATAAGGCTCATTTTGAGGATTATAAGAACTCATAACAGATAGTGATAGGCATTGTATATGAAAATTTAGAATGGTCTTTGCTATCATAATGAGGACATCCCTTATAGCCACTACACTATCCTTCCTATGTTACGTCTAAGCTCCAGTTAATCATTGTCTAAATAACAAAACTTAACGGGTGTACAGTAAGGCAAGCGTAGCTCGGATGTACGCTAGCCTTTGGCATGTATATATATAGTAAAATTCTAGCACACGCCTGATGTACGCTATACACCTGCATTCATACTTATTATATGTGCTTTGATATATTTCGATGGATCAGAATCATCGGTTTTTTTTATAGATTGAATGAATTTTATGGTTCTGGTTAGAGAATTAGGGATTGAGGTTCACCTATTAGAGGTTAGGTTATACGATCATGGCCTAAACTCCAACTAATTCATGGTCTAAATAATAAAACTTGAAGGGCGTACGATAGTGTGAACACATGCATATAACGTGCGCCTGACGTACGCTAGCCTGAACCATATATATAGACAGAAAACATCCTATCTTTCATCCATAATCAATTGAGTTCGAGAAAGGCCATGATAATTATATATGATCCAATAACATATGATCAGCTACAGACACAGAATGCAAACTAAACGATAAAGAGTGTCATCGATTTATAAGATAGTTTGTACACTTTGTAACCCTCTCTATATAAGTGAGGAACGTCTATTACCCCCTTATAGTAAACATCTCATGAAACCAAATGAACGCACAACAATTGTTCAATTGGTTTCTTAACTAGTTTTTTTTTTTTTTTCTAAATGACAATCAAACCAATAAGTAATGGTTATTGGTCTCTATGTACCCAAAAGATATTTTTAAAGAGTGTAAAGGTTAAATTTTTATGCTTTGGACCCCAATTATTTTTTTTGTTCCAAAAAACATTTTGCACCAAAAGGCAAACTAAACCCAAAAGCACTCAAGCACGGTAAAAACATTACAAGCTAGCTTTTAAACCTCTTTATTAGACTTTTGATATTCGAGTCTTACGATCTACGGGTTGGGTTTGTGGGAGGGGGGGGGGGGAATGGTGCAGTTTTATTTTTAAAAGTTGGATTATCCTTTCACTCTTTCCTTCTATGAATCTTTCATCCATAAATCATCGCCAGCTCTCATCCAGTTTCCTCTCAGGAGGCTCCCCATGTTAATATAACTTCGTCATCGTCACTCGAGCGACAAGCCTCCCCATCCCTGTAATTCTTTGAATGATATAGGTGATCACTGTAAGCAATGTTGTCAGAACCGAACCGAACCAAAGTATGACACGATAACATGAACGGCTCGCACTTTAGCGGTCCAACTGACATTAGACCATTCAAAAATCGTTAGAGAACCAGTATCTAATTAACACCTTCAGTATAAATAGTGGACACTTCTTAATCATGGTAAACCATGACTAAATTATACTCTTAACAATTATAGAACATGAGTACCAAAATTTCTAAAATCCAATTCCAAACCACCACATTGGTCCAAAATAAAAGCAATGTCACATGAGGCTGAACATGAAACTAGAGTCTCAAACATGACAACCACTCAAAATCTAAAAGTCAAACAACTATCAAATACAACTTCAACATCATCTCATTCACCACCACTGACATTAGATGAATCACTGCTTGAGGACACAATGCCAATTGTTGTGCTACCATCATCTCCATCATCGTCTGGGAAGAAAACAAAAGATATGTTAAAAATCATGAGTTAAAAATGTATCAAAGTTAAACATTTTTCATTTACTAATATCTCAATATAACCTTCATTGCGACTTTTTCCCCCTACTTGTAGCTCCACTTCCTTCAGGAATGTCATTAGCATTATTCTCATCATAGCTTGCATAACCCAAAATTCAACAATGGTGCACTATCACCAAAGGTATTCCACCAATCATCTACAATCATAAATGATTAATTAGAACAAACACAATTAAATAGACCAACTATTTTATTACGAATCATGATACTTCATATTACATGGATCAAGTGACGATCTACCTCTAACAACCAAGTCCCTACCAAAGGTCCCCTTTGCTTCCTCAAAAAGTTTTAGTTCCTTACGTGCTTGCATACCATCACTACAAAGTTGAGGCTTTTCAAGCAAGTTTATTATAGACCACTTTCACCTCAATGTCTCCCCACATATTCTTTCTCGCCATATTTGAGAGCAGGATTGAAGAAATAAGCTATATTGACTAGATCCCCTGAAAATGCTTATCCCACCTTTCGTTGACGATGCCAATATAAGGTTTACCTAGAAAGATCTCTTTAATGCCCTTAACTGCTCTTCTCATTCCCTCATGGACATAAGTAAGAGTGGGCTTCTCATCTGAATCCATAAGCTTAAACAACTTCATGATTGGTTGAACCACATTTACCATCTCCAAACAATCACCCCAAAACTGAGCATCTAACAATATAACACTCACCGCCTTTCTTTTTGCAGTCTTAGATGATTCATCTGCATTGAAGAACTCACTCACTACTAAAGCTTGTAAATCAACCTTGTGCTCATACACTCTACACGGAGAGGAAATTAGTAGCAAGGCGAGTTGCACTATGCCTCACTATTTGCTTCCAATTCGGCCTTGCTTTCAACCAATTAAGCATAGGAGTATGGTTATAAACAAACACAATGACTCTTCTAGCCTTTTGAATGACAACCTTCACATTCTCCAAATCCCCAAAATCACTCAATATCAAATTCATGCAATGAGTTATACATGGGGACCAATAAATATGTGGATATCCTATGAATAATCTTACCAAATGACTTATAATTAGCTGCATTATCAATTATCACATGCACCATATTGCCCACGCCAATCCACTGAATTGCTTCATCAAATATCTTGGAAAGGTTCTTTGCATTCTTCACAACACTTGATGCATCAATAGATTTAAGAAAACAAAGACCTCTAGTGCAATAGACCAATAAATCGACCAAACTTCTACCTTGTTGATTAGTCCAACCATTAACCATTGATCAACAACTAGCTGAGTTTCTCTTTTCCAATCAGCTAGTGAAGTCACGCTTAAATCATGATAGGATGGTACCTTAAATCCTGGACCTATATGCCTGGTGGAGACCCATGAGTGGTTCTTAGAGCAAAAAAAAATCAACCCTTGGTTTTCTTCATCAAGTCACTAACAACTTTTGTTTCCTGTGATCTAACCAACTCAACCACATCATCCTCTTTGTCACCAATGCTAGGATCATTAGATTTCTTCTTCTCTTCCTTCTTTCATCATATTCTTTAAGAATATTGGAAAATCTCACATGCACATCATATAGAACTTTTGAGCATTTCACAATATTACCTTTTGAAGAATGAGCAATATGTTATTTCATCCATGAATCCCTCCTCCTTTTAAGTGCATTTAACTGCCTTTGCCTTCCCATTATCATCTTTGATTTTTTGAACGCAATTACAAGTTGGATCGTTCTTTGTCCTACCAGCTTGCATAGTTGAAGCAGTAGAGCTCGGTGTTGTTGATTGGGTACCACTATCTGAATTTGGATTACTCATCTACAAAAGAAACACCGAATCAATATTTTGATATTTTCTATTCTGGTATCTCTACCCAACAAAAGAAATCAAACATTGAAATCAAAAGAATTACAGAAATCAAATATTGAAATTCAAATTACCATTACCTACCTTGCGTCGAGCAAGGCAGTGGGAGATGTAGCTAATCGAGGAGCCAAGCAGAGGTGGCTCCGGCCAGAGCAGGAGTAGCATTGAGAGGACGAATGCTTGGGAGCGGCTATGGGGACTGGCGATGGCGATGGGAAGCGCCTACGAGAAGCAGGGACGGGGACTGGAAATGGCAATTGCGAGCGGGGAGCGACTACGGGGACTGGCAATGGTGACGGGAAGCGGGGACGGGAAGTGGCAACGACGACAAGGACTGGCGGAGGGAAGCGCCGATGCCCTCTCTCGATTCAGTTTGCACGAAGACGAAGGAGATGAATAAGAGTTAGGGTTTTTTTTTTCCAGACAACCCGACGTTTTCCCCTTTCAGTATTCGATTATTTTATTTTCAATGTTTTTTTTAATTAAACCCAACGCGCGGAAGAGAAAAGCCGAGCGATCACCTTGAGCAGTTAACCGCCTCGATCGTTCGCCGATCACTCCAAAAAGCTGTTGCGGCTTAATGATTGTGCGAGCCGGGTGACAGTCTTAGTAGTCCGACCGACCGGCTCGGTCTTAACTCTTAATTACATTGACTGTAAGGAATTGAGATGAAGGAAAGAAACTTCAACGGGCTGTAGAATAAGGGGAAACTAGCAACAACACCTATTTTCATACCACTTTGAGTGCAATCCCAAAAGTGTATTCACATTTTGTAAGCCCTGAATTACGTTAATGAAAAGGAAACTTGTCAGATTTACCAACAATTGAAAAGGACTCACAATCCATATTCAAGCATTATGATGTGGATGTTTGAAGAATTAATAAATAGTTAAGTTCGTAAATTCATGGGTATTCGTTGGATTGAGTTTTTACTTCTAAAATCCAATTAATATTTTATCGAATTTTTAAATGAGTACATCCGCCTGATTGGATATGGATTAGAGAAACCTACCCAACCCGACCCGTCCCAATGCCATCCTTTATCTTATTTGATAAAAATATAAATTAAAATAAATTTGTTTAGAAATTTTGTTGAACAAATAATTATATTAAGCTTAAAATTTAAGAAAAGAAAATAAATCTGCCTAACGACGTCGTCGCTGTGCGATGGTCAGCAGATAACCAAATCGGTCTGATCTCTGATTGACCAATGACCGTTGACGGCCCCGTCAAATCAACTGTCCGTTTAACGGCTCGAGACTAACGTCATTAGAGACAGGAGGGAAAATGAAAAAATACGAAATTTATTCAAACACAACCCAAAAGCAATTCCGCACAGTGTTTTCCCTCGATTTCTTTCATCTTGTTGTTTGCCGCGAGGGAGCCAGCCAGCAAACTCCCACTCTCTCTCTCTCTCTCTCTCCATCTCCCTCCTCCCTTCCGCTCCTCTCCCTCTCCTTCCAGATTCATCTCGTCCGCCGCCAGCATCGCTGCCGCTTGCCCGACGGTGGCTCGATTCGTCGTCGGTTCTCTCAATCCTGATCGGAGATCGATCGACCGGAACCCTAGGTTTCGGAACTCTTTGGATGTGATTTCTCGGAAGAACATTTTTAGCTTCTCTTATGTTAGCTGGATTTCCCGCTTGAGAAGTCATTGAACCTATTAGGTTGTGAGCTGAGTGGCGGGCGGTTTGCAGTTAAGTGGTTCGGAGTTCTTTATGGCAAAAGTGGCGCCGCCTGGTTCTCTTCCTCCCAACTCTCTGCAAATTGGTGCGGGTCCTTTAAATGTTGGTCCGATGGCCAAGAGGAAGACGCCGTCTGACCTCAGGGTATGCTTCCTGTTGTTGATTCATCCTTCCATTGTTCAAAGTTTGGGTCTTTTAAGTTTTAATAGGCGCCAAATGGCTAGTTCATCTGGTGGTTCAGTTTGGGAGGTCTTATGGTCAAACATTTTCTTTTGAACTGCAGCGAGAGCAGTTGAGGAGGACAAGTCTAGCTGAGCTTATGGGGGAATCTAAGCTCTCTATGCCTGGGAAGACGAAGTGAGTTCCCAACTTATCTTCTGCTTATGTCTATTAGTATATTTCATTCTGAGGGTTTTGATTCATGTGCAATTACTTAATCGTGTCCCAGCAACCCTGTTGAAAACGGGATAAAGAAACCTGAAGTGTCCAGAAATCCAAAGTATATTGATACTCGCCTGGATGAAGTGTACCCCGTCAAAAAGTCGAGATTGGGGATGCTCCCCGCGAAAGAGAAAGTAAAGGTGATTCTAGTGAATCCATTTTGCTTAGAACTTTGTTTGCGGAAGATTGTAACCTGTGGTATTGAGTTTGTTTCAAAAGCAGGAAAACAAATCGACGGAGCAACTTAACAATCTGAAGAATCTTTCCACTCTTACTAATTTGGCAGCAAAGAGACAGGAAACTTGGTATATGTTCGACCTGACTTCATATTAATGGAAGTTAGATGTGATCTGACTTAATGTATCCGACACTCTCCTTTCAGTTTGGAGAGACCTGTAGCTCATGCGGATGTCTCAACAGATTGTAGCAGAAAAGCGCACCAAACAAGTGAAAAATGTAGTCAGAGTATATTCCGTACTGTTGCTGAGCTTTCGACATATGGGAAACAGTCCTCAGGTCTTGCAGCTGTTGACATGGTATGATTTTGTTTTATTCCTGTTTTGCTATGGTAACTAGAGGTGCATTTTCTTACAAGTCGTTTCCATATATTTTTATAGGATAAGGCCTTGAAAGGATTGGCTGCCTGTGAGCCTGCAGGCCATTCCGGTTTAAATACTGATACATCTGGGAAATCTGGCCAATACTCTGACAATTTCTGCTCAGAGTGCTGCATACCTGGCAAGAAACCTCCTCTTGATTTTACTTTGAAAACAAAATTGCGACTGTTGTGTGCTTGCTCAGTGAGTGGGTAAGTACAGATGTACCGTTATTCACTGAATGGTGCATTGTATTCACCTAAGTGAATGATTTTATCAGAAAGTCATTTTATTCCCAACTTTTTGAACATGTTCAGGCTTCATAGGTCGATCGTGTCCAGCACATACAACAGCACTCCACAGTTCATATTTCAACAGGGTTGTGCTGTAGATATCAGTAGCCCATTGCAAACCCTAACTTCCCAATTGTGTAGCCCTAAATCTCTGCATTCTTGGGTTTATCCACAGTCTACACTACCACCTGCTGTCATTTCAGTATTGTCTTCATCAGCTGCTGATGGAGGTTAGTCATACAAATGTTTCTGGTGACATATCTTCTATTAATTGCTTATTTCTTGTGCTGAAGTTTGTTTTTCTGTTCAATTGATAGATTTTCTTAGAAAAAGGCAAATGGCTTGGCAGGATTCATTTCGGAGTCTCTATTACTTACTTCGCAAAAACATTTGCAGCATTTTCTATGGTAAGTTCCCCTTATTTGTGTGAGGCTGTATCTTCCTTATGACTTAAATTATGAACTACCTAGGAAGTAAAGCATGTAGCTTTATCTAAGGTTTTTTCTTCTTGGATCTGAACATGTACGCGTGGCGATGAAACATGCTGCATGTATAAACTATATTATCATCGTGTGATGACATGCCATGACTGTATTCTAAACTTCTCCACTTTTTTTGGAAACTTGTGTAGTTTGTACATCACACTTCGTGGTGATGTTCACCAATGCTGGAGGCGTGGGGTGCAGTGCCTACATCTCGCAATCAACTATAAGTCTCAGGTCTTTGTTAAGAGAACATGTACGATATTTACACTCCATGTTAGTTCTTTCACTGTAATTTGTATATCTTTATAAGCTGCTCAATTTGGTATAATCAGTTGTCGCCTAGTTTTTGTGCTTTCCATGCATCACTTGATCCTGAAATTGGAATAATGTTTTCCTAAAACTCATCGTTGTTTCCACATATTCATTCTCTTCCTCCTGTTTCAGGCCTGATATATGTTCTTCTATGTTAAAGTAATTTCTATATTTCTAGAAATCTTGCATATCATGCTCAGTGAATCCTCTATCAACCATTGGGGATTTGTTTTCTTGCATGCTCAGCAAAACCTCCATTGACTTTAACAGAGGAAGTCGTAATTGCCATGCATCTTGTAATAGGAGATCCATTTCCTATCTAGAGTCTAGACTGTTTTTTGTTGTCCTTTTGGTAGTGACTCAGATCATTATGCGTTCTCTATCCGAACCCTGTGGAAGTTTCTGGAATTAAACTGCTCCAAATTGAATGATAATTAGGCCGTGCTCAAGCACTTCGGATCTTTCATTTCATAACAATTCAGAGATTATTTTGGACCTGATTTTACTGTCAGTGCGCAAATGTTTTTCTTTTACATGTGCAAGGTTGGTGGAACCTGTTACTTTCAGTGGAGATGGTTGCAGTAAAGGAACAAAAAAAGAAAACAAATATATATATATTTGAATAGTTTACTTTGGCTTTGATGTAGGATGTATGCTTCTCTATGCCACTTTGCCATTCCAAAGTGGAGCAGGTTGCCACTGAACATCTGGTTGAGCTTGCAGCGATTAGGAGGGAAAACTTGGGCCAGGTTGTCATCACTTTTCCTATTTCAACACCCAACACTTTGTCTGTTTACTGGACAACTTTCCCTGGTTCTTGATGAGCTGCTAATTTAAACATAAAACAGAATTGCAGTTTCAATGCAATCGCACATCTGGGCCATCTGGTGATATTAAGTTTGACAATTTATTGCTCATCTAAATTTATCCAGGTTCGGAATCTTAGTTCCTTGGACAATGTTGATAATACTCCAGAATCCTTACTGGCCTTCAAGGAAAAGATACATGTGCAGGGACTGTATGATTTCCTGTTAAATTACAGGTGGGTGTACTTTATGTTTACAGCAGAGAGAGGTATATTGTTAAGTTCGTTCGATGAAGTATCATCATACTTCGTTTCCTACTTGACAGATCTTCCTTGACTCTCTTGTCTGGAGTGGACGTTCCATTACTTTATTCACCTATTCCATTTCCAAATGCTTCCCTTTCTGCTCCAGAGGTTAGTATTCCACTTATGTAATGTCAAGCAGTCTATAAACTTTTCTTTCTTCATATCAACGCATCCTTTCTCATACTTTCTTTGCTTTGTACTTGCTAAGAACCAGTCTCTCTCTCTTACAGATAAGTTGTGTGGATATGAAGAGAGCTGACCATACTGCAGCATCCCCTAAAGATGGCTCAAATGTCACTCACAGCTCAATCATTGAAGTAAAGGGAACATTTATTCCCCCGTGGATAGTTAGCCGCATTTGTGCCCTCTTGAGCTGTGAAGCGACGAACTTCGAGGCGAGGTATGATTAGTTGATTACACCCTCATTTCTCTCACGTATCCCTTGCTAGGTTTGCGTAAAAGCAGGCACGTCCTTCGAATTAGTTGCTGTTCACATTCATCATCGATAATTATTTTGCAGCTTTGCTACGGAACCCACTTCGATTGGCTTGAATGTTGCGATTGAGAAAGTCGACAAAGTCGACGAGAAATCCAAATCTGATGCAGAAACCGTACAAGAAACTGATAGTAGTAGCTCTTTGGGCTTGGCCGAAGCAGTTGTTGCTCCTTGCGTGAGCTCAGGCTTTATAACAGGATTGAAGTACAGGGATAATTCATACTTGGCCTCCCTCTCACCAGCATGAGATGTTTCCTTTAGAAGTAAAAAAAAGGAAGAGAATATTGCTGCTGTCAGTTCTTCGGTTTTGGTTTCACTAAGCGAGGCGTACGACTGTATCTCATTCCTTGTATTATTCGTGCCGTTGTTGCAACTCAGGCACGAACGAATTGGTGCGAAGGGGATTCTTATTTGTACAAATGCTACAAGTGCAAGTCGTACTCTTTTGACATGTGAATTGTGATGCAACAATTCCATTTTGGCAAACCTTTATATGAAAAAGTAAAAGGGAAGCCTTTTCAAATCGCAGAGAATGACAAGGTTGATTAAGTTTATTAGAGACTAAATTGTATGATATTTAACATTTTCTTTCTCTTCGATCAAGCTATAACCAGGTCAGCATCTCTGTGTATCTTGCAGGCGCCGAGCCATGCACCAAATTGGTGCATTAGGTTTGATTGGCATGTCAAATACAAACTTCTCAGCTTTTGCTAGTTTCTAAGCTCGACCGAGTAGATCGACCATGCAGCCATAGCGGTCGAGCCAAGGCTTTATATTATAATCTCTCGGCATGCTGTTGAATGTCTTGCCCTCATTCCACCAAGCCTCCATGGGTGCAAGCTGAGAGAACTGCGATAAATGTGATGCACGAGAGGTTATCCTAGTGGGTTTGGATTACCTTGTCTGCATATACATGCATTGCGAAGCCTGAGATGGAGAGTTGTCCAGCTCAAGGCTTCCTGCTCCGGAATTGGGTTGAACACTTGGAGGGGTTTTACCAATTGCGTCCATACATTTCAACTAGAGCAGTTCGGAGGATCATGTTAAGGTCAGATATTGTTACTGACAACGTTATCGTGAGCCTCTTGTAAAGCACCCAGATGAGCACAGGAAGCAATCACGCTGACCATTACTGTTTCATTAGCTCGCATTTGTTGAGATTGAAGAAGGCGAAATAGCTCTATCGCCTCATTGAAGCAATTGTTCCGCAATTCAGAAGAGAGACAGACACGACGCATTCGGAAGAGCGGCATGGAAGACCACATGCATTCAGCAATAGTTCATCAATAAATAAGAAACAACTACAATTCAGTACAGGCTTCTGCCTCTGCCGTTCAAAACTCATGTCAAAATTGCCGCATCATTTCTTTGCATGACTGAAAATGCAACCGAAAATCTCTCAGAAGTTGAACTTGAAGGCACCAACTTGAGCATCCGAGACTGAGTCCCAGAACGAAACTTTCTTCAGTTGGGCCTTCTTTTCCTCTGCCTTCTCCACCAAATCGTCAATAGTTCCTGGGAAATTTGCCTCGATGGCATTCTTAAGCTTGTCGTGAAGGTTCACCCTGTCTTTTGTTCCGGACACAAGTTCGCTTGCATTAGGTCTCTTGAGAAAATCTAAAACATTCAACAAATTCCGCCTGCAAATAAAGGACGATCACCTTGTTGAGCTCAAAGCACCAACCATATGAACATTTGCTCGAGAAAACTGCGACAAAGTAGGAAAGAGTTGTGCCGAATGCAAACGAGATAAATGAATGTGTTCCTTAATCAACTTATCCACCCTTCTAAAGTTCAAAGATTAGTCACCGTACAAACAAAAAGGTATGCCGCCCAGATGTCTTGAGTGCCTCGAAAGCTCAGGGAAACTAAAGAGTGCTAATGTAAAGTACTGTATCCTCCTTCTCCGGACTAGACAAATGACTCGAAATTTTCGAGTAGAGGATCTCCTTAAGTTTTGAACACAGAATAAGATGAAAAAAAGATAGGGAAGGACGGAAGCAAGAAAACTAAACTGGGTTCCAATCTTCTCATACTATTAACCATAATTAGAACACGAATTTGTAGAATTACACCTCAGATCTCTTTCATTCACATCCTAGGCCTCAGCCTCTCTCCTTCTCCTACTCGATTCCCTTTTCTTAACCCAGAAGAGACATTCACTAAACATAAACCATTATCAATAAGAAATCTTAATCTAATTAGACAAATACGATTATTAAATAACCCGCATAGTCGCAAAATAATAATTAGATAAGGATAACTATATAAAGATACACAATGCTAAAATGCTCAATTAGTCTCGTCGGCTCGTTACAGGTCAGCTAACCAACTCTGGGACCACGTTCTGCAATTTTAGTTCACAGAAACATAAATCCAGGGACCAATGTAATGGGAAGCCCTTGTTTCAATGAAGTTTTGGAATTCAATAAGAACACTCCCTCGCCAGTTTATGCAGTAGCAGCACTCAATTTGTCAGTTACCAACAAAATGTTGAAATGCATCTCAATTCTCGTATAAGATATAGAAAGATGTACCTGCTGACAAAGTTCTGCGTAATGGCAATGGATTCTTCCAGGTTGATAACTAGATGCCACCATCCATTTGGTACGAAGATCACTTCCCCGGCTCTACAGATGCACTCGACAGGTCTCTTCTGCCATTTCTTGGTAGCACCATAAAAGTTCATGAACCATTCGATAATAGAAACTGGACATGCCACTTCAGCCCCATCTGGGCTTGGATGTACACCAGGCGGTACCACATCTGGGGGGAACAAAATCCATTTCTTGGAACCCTTGATCACTGCATTCCAAGCTGATGTCGAATTAGGATCAATATGGAATGAAGAACCAGACCCTGCTGGACCCATTATTACCCATCGATAATCCGGCCTCTCATTGCCTAAAACACTAAACAAATCCTCTTGAAAGTAAGCTGGGACTTCATAATCTGAAGCCAAAACGGGGACCTTTTCAGCAAATTTAGGGTCAAAAAGATACAATGGCCTCTCTTCCTTCACTTGATCTGAGTACTTGAAATATTCTTCAAGCTTCATCTTCACTGGACCAACTGAAAACCTCATATCTCCACATTCCTTAATCAAATAATCCCTATCCCATTTCTTCAAAGCAGGCCAATTATATATGCATCCTTCCAACAACACCGGTTTATTCGGTTCCTCAAAGCTCAACACGAATTCCTCCACCGAAATTCCCTTCTTTCTAACTATGTTATCCCTCTGAAGCCACTCAGGTTTCATTTCCAGATTAGCACATAACCAGCTCTGGAAGAGATAATCCGAGTAAAAATCCCTAACCCTCATTTTCGCACCATCAAGATAAGTTGACAGAGATGAGTAACGAGCAGCAACGTAAGTAGATTTCCACGACCCATTGAACAAAAATCCACCTTGCAGTTCCTCCAAAACGAGATTCCTCCATAGAGGCTCGTGATTTGCGAAAATATAGAGAGATTTACTCACAACGGCTAAAAATCCCAGCTGGGCTGGACCAAGCAGCCCTAGAATGTCGAGAACCAGCTCATCGGACAAAATTTGGAGATTGCCTAAGCCGGTGTTCCTCGAGTTGACAGAGCCTGGGTTTAAGTACAAATTTCCGAGCGGCTGGACGCCATGGGCGTGTGAGGGAGCTGAAACCTTGAGGTTAAACCCTTCTTCTCCTTCTTCATCTTGAATTTCTGCTGCTTGCTGCTCGGAAATGGCGGCTGTTTTGGAGGGGAGGGTTTTCTTTCTTCTGGTTTTGGTCTTTGTCTGTCTCTTTTTCTTTATGGCTTGAGACAGCAGTGTCCTCCGGCAGCTCAACATAGCCGACGAATTTTCAGGACGAATCTGTCGGGCGTCGGCTCGGCCGGGAGGAGGGTGTCTGTCCGTCTCTAATGGCGGCCGTTGGCGAACAACGGAAAGGTTTTTTCTACCTTTTTTGGTTGAATTTATCAGTTCTGACGGCCCTAGCTTCAAAACTGCACATTTATGGGCCGACTGTTTGGGACGTGGCTGGGTAGCTGAACGCTTGAAGCCTTGAACAAAACATTTTTCTTTTAAAATAGAACGCCTAACGGAGGCCCAAACTTTATTCATTAAACCAAATGTGGTCTGAGCCCCAACTCGATCTAAATAGTAAATATAGCAAGTAAGAAAGTGTATTGCTTGACCCATGAAAAGATGGATTGCTATCAAGGTTGTTAAACCCCTATCGAACTCTCGGTTGGATCCTGTCCGATCTAATTTGGGCTTCAAAACGACCTCCAAAAAGCCCAACGGTCTAACCCCTAAAGAGGGAGAAGAAGAGAGGGGTAAGAGAGGAAGATGAACGACGAAAGAGAGATGGTGGGTGGGTCATGGAGGTTAGGTATATTTATTTTGTGAAAATAAGTTTTTAATAGAAACATGTAAGATAAATTTCATTTCATTTATTAAATCTTTAATTACTATCTTATTTGTATATATATTTAGAAAATGTCTAAAATGGCTTAAACCGGTCGGACCCCGATCAGACCATTAAACCTCAAACTCCTAGTTTGATCGGCTCAACGACTTAAACCGGTTTGACAACCTTGATCGCTACATTCAGGGAACGCTCAAAGGAGGTTAGATAGTTTGCAAGATAATTTCTCTCACGGTAAACATGTTCTGTCAAGAACCAGTTGATCCCATTATGCCACTCTCTAACACACCCTCTCAAATGAAAGCCAACCCATGGACTTGAAATTTGAACAGACGATCACCATACCTTATGCTTTAATTAACTGTTAATATTGGGATCGTGGAGATTCGAACACTATCCTGACTTGCCATGGGTCTTAGCCTATACCACACACATAGTGTGGATGATGTGGAGTAGCAGTCTTTACCACACTTAGATGTGGATAAGCAACATCAAATCTCTATACCACACACATAGTGTGGATGATGTGGAGTAGCAGTCTTTACCAGGGTCTTAGCTGTGATCGAGTCTGTCTATATAACAACTTTCCTAGTCCCTTATTCCTAGGTGAGTTTCAACCCTTGTACAATACCAACCAGCTATGCATGAGTAAACGAACCCCCTACTAGGTTAGATGAGAATGCATTGACAAAAGGACAATTGTCTCCCCTCACGATGCCATCACATGTGGTCATTGTAGGAGAGAGTATGACTTGGCGATTTCCGTCACATGTCGTCTGTGTTGCGGCACACCCAATCACGTTGTGGTAGCTTATAGCCGACTTGGGGTCCCTCGCAGAATCCCCTAGCTTTGTAAATGTGTCTCTCATTCTCAAAGCTATATGATATGTTTCCTTCAATGCATGTTTTTAAAATGGATTTGTGTATAGGGCTCATAATGGAATAAGTGGCTATTCTGGTTCTTCCATAGTAGCTAGCCCATACCGGCGAACAATGTATTGTCAATCATGTTAATACTCCTGATAGGTAATAGAGAGTACTTTGATGTCAGTTCGACTCGAATTTGGGTTCGACTCATTTTCAAGAAGCCTCTCCCCCATTGCACTAGCGAATGGGAAGTCCCTAACCAAATGAATAATAGTTTCAAGGCCTCCTCCTCGTATCTTGCAATTGGTGCGTGTCATTAGGTGCCTCTGCTTCGCTCCGCATTTGTGAGAAAGCCTTCGTGGTTGAGAAGCTAAAGGAAGGTTCTAACGGGTTGCATGGCAAGAACTTTCCAAAGTGACCTCCATATGGGCTACTTGTGTGTGGGCATGTGAGTTGAGTATATCAATTTGTATGGCAAGTAGCGTGAAGTCTCCCTTGTCTAAGTATCGCCATAGTCGTGTATCATCATCTTGTTTTCGCGAGGTTGAGGTGCAACAGGACTTGTGGGACAATATCCGGTGGTAAGTAATGACATAAAAACTCTGTATCCACACACCATTAAAGAAGAACTCAACCACTAACATTTCTAGGAGTGTCGGTGATAGATTAGGCGTAAGGTTCAAAAGAGAGCTCCATCATCAAAGAACTTATCACTCCAAAAGCACGCCACTCTTCCATTATGTATGCTCCATATAGTGGCATCCTCCATCAAATTTTAGGTGTATTGCTTCAACTTCTTCTTCTGATGTGGATGGACAAATGGTGAGCAAGTCTCTAATATGAAACACCTGGTCTCTATCATCCTCTCCCGAGAATTGCTTTATTGCTCGCACCATCTTTATCAGTGATGGCTCTATCTCTATGCTTGATGCATTTTGGATGATGCTAGCCACGAGATCTAATTCTCTAGATTGAACTCGAATAGAGTTGGTACAACCATCTTTCTTCATGTAATTCTTGATGGTTCAAGCCTTAAAGTACCTTCTAGTATCACGTTCTTGTATGATTTGCAATGCCCTATTACTTGTAGGTTCAAGTTCTGCAGTACAAAACAAACTAAAGTGTAATACCTTTGAAAATATCACATACAAGAGGTTAATTTCTTTTCAAATACTATCAAAAGTCCTCGCCAACGGTGCCAAAACTTGACGATGTTGTAGTATGAACCAAGTAATAATCCTTGGAATGCCCATGATCGTATTCCATGGGATTTTGATGGTATCTACTTTGCATTTGAGATGGTAATGCAAGGAAAAGTAAATTCGATGGATTGAGGTTCCCTGGTATGATCAATGCTTTATCTATTTACACAATGCGGAATAACAGTAGCAAGTAAAGTAAAATTAAACCAATTGACTAAAAATATTGCCTAGATAGTTTCATTTAGATGATCATGTACACTAACTGATTAATGATATGCATCCATGTATCTCTTTTGTTATGATGTCCTATCCCTTTGAATAATGCATTCCTAACCGAGCTTCGCCACATACGAGAGAAACTACAACTAGTGCATGCTTTCATTTCAAGCCACTAACTAATCAATCATAATAAGGAAGTAAGGCTACCAAGTTGCTATTTAGGGCCTTTTTGGACATTATCAATAGACATTGCCCTATATTCATCATAGTGAGGACCTCCTTAAGGTCATCAAATCATTCCACTCTCATCACTCGATCAGTGCCTCACACATAGATTTAATAAGCTACAATCCATTTTAATGCTTTGTTAAACTTGGTTGTGGAAAAGCACATGAGCACGCATGGTTCGACCGACCTATACCTAAGAATCCAAGTTTCACACATATAGACCTACCTACAATCACTAGTTAAACACATTCTTTTGGACACATCGAGATATTAAGCAACCCAAACTTCAAATAGATTCACTCGTAGAGCTACATTCTCCTCATCACCTCGCACACAAGTAATCGTGAAAGATATATTCAAAGAAACAAAGCACATTCTAATCAAAGTAGTTGATTGGAGCCCTCAAATTTGAAGGAAAATTGGGCATATATATCAAAGGATCCAAGCAATCACTAACATGAACAATCATTATCTCACCACCACCATAACAAGCATGCATATATGCATATCCATTCATAATCAACAAACCATAAGACAGGGTAACATGCAAGCATTGGTAAAAAGTAACTATACACCCCCACACTTAATTGGCACATTGTCCCCAATGTGCATAAAACAAGGTGAAAGTGAATAGAAAGAAGTCTACCTCATTGAAGGACCAGTGGAGAAGGTGAAATAAGGTCAATTGAAAGTTCGTTTAAGCTCATAAGATGGTTTAAATCACACATCAAGATTAGGAAACACACATCCATGAGATATGTATTCTCTACTAAAATATAAAACATAAAACAAAAAGGAAAAAGAAATCAGACCAGAGTTAGACTGTCTTTCAACAAGCGTATCTTTGCCATCATAAGCTACACTATTGCTCCTAAGTTTCAGTCCATCCCTATACCTCGTTGAAACTAAGGTTCTCATTAGTGATGTGAAGTTTCAATTCTCGAGCATTCAGTATGATATTTGATGTAGGCTTATGGACTTGATTAATCTTCACAACATCATCCTTACTCCCTTAATCTTCACAACATCATCCTTACTCCATTCTCTTTCCATTTTCTTATTGAATGGAAATAAAGATGTGCCTCCAAGCAAGTTCTTCCATGGATGGATCAACATGTTCTTCTTGCTTATCCACCCTCTTAAGCATTTATGCCGCTTGCACCACTTCCTTAGTGCTCGCTTCACCAATTTTTTGAACCGTATTGGATTTGGAGGAAGGAAATGTGGATTTTGATAATTTGGAGTATGCTTGCTTATCTCCAACTAGGGATGTTAATGAGCCGAGTCGAAACGAGCTTTTCCTTGTTTAAGTTTGGCTCATTAATAAACGAGACGAGCTCGAGCTTGACTCAATTACAAACAAGCTGAGTCGAGTCGAACTTGAGCCGGCTCATTTATTATAACCTATTCGACTCATCATTAGGATCAGGAGTTCGGCTCGAGCTAAACTCTATGATAAAACATAAATTATAAATTAAACCCATATATGATACATGTGATATATATGATACATGTGATTAACTAATCTCATGTCACATATGAGACATATTTGCTCACATACTCAAAATCTTAAACATGTGAGATATACAATTTAATAAACCTATGAATTGTCAACAAGTCAATTCATAATATTTAAATCGATTTTCTCATAAGTCGGTAATTGAGTTGTCCACTAATCACAATGTTGAGACATCTCATGAGCCCAAAACCAAGATTGTTCACGAGTTGAGCTCAACAAGCCTCTTAGTCGAGCTGGCTCACAAGTGTCACGAGCTGAACAAAGGCTTAGCTCAAGCTCTGCTTGTTAATAGATGAGTCGGAATTTTATTGAAACAAACGAGCTTTTATCGATTCGAACATCGAATTGCTCCTGAATAGCTTGGCTCATTAACAACTCTACCTCCAACCATGAAGCGCTCAGTTTTGAATTCCCATAGGCTATGTGGCTCTAGTGGTAGTGGAGGATGCAATACCTCGTACTCTTGGCAGCAAATCTCTCTATTTGAAGCTCTGATTGGCTCTTTGGCTTAAATGGTGATGGAGGATGCAATACTCTCTCATTCTCAGCAAGAAATCTCTCTATTTGAAGCTACAATTGACTCTTGTCTCTGAGGTGGGCTCATTAGTGTGGAAAGATAACTCCCTCGGCTTTGGAGATGGGCTTTTCAGAAAGCATGACCCAAAAATATGTGGAGAAGCAAGAAGTCCAATTGAAGATATGTTGCAGAATTGGAAGAAAAGGAAGCGTCAAAAGCGGTGAGCATAAAATGTGTGTCATCAGAAGCTTAAACTAGATTAAGTTGAAGCATTGATGAATCCTTTTGAAGTGAGAGTTGACGTTCAAAATTAACGATTAGTGAGTAGTGGTTTTACAGAAAGTCGAGGTGCCATTTTGGTACTAAAAGTCTAAAGACATGACTTAAGTGTGGAGATTCTAATACTTCCTATTCGTATTGTTGTTATAAACAAAGTAGAAGCTAAACACTATTAGGCTACTAGTTGACGATTAGGGGAAAAGAGGTGACTAGTATCGAGGTTATGTGCATTAGTTGTTTTTTTTATAATGTTATTGAAGAACCTGAGAGAAGGATCATTGAATCAATAGAGTTTTATAAGGAAATCCTGAAAAATAAGTTGTTGCCAGCTCCAACAGAACATTTATGTGTGCTAGTTGTTGAAGAGGAAGTAAAGAGATTAATGTTGGACACTAATGTTGATAAAATCCCTGACCAATATGGATTTCCAGCCTCGTTTTATCAATATACTTGGCATATTGCTGGTCATAGATTACTATAGTTATTCAAGATTTATTGTGATTAGTGTGCCTCCTCGTGATGTTAATTCCACAATCCTTGCTATAATTTCTAAAGATTGAAATCATAATTGCATTAAGAACTTTCGGCCTTTTCCTGTTACGATACTATATACAAGTGTATAGCTAAAAATCTGGCCTCTAAACATTACCTTTAACAATTGGAAAAATTAAAACAACCTTTATAATAGGTGGAACAATGTCCTTGTACAACAAGTACTATATATGGATATGATAGTCTCGTTCAAATGATTCTTGATACAAATCAATGAAATGGTTCAAAGTACAACATGCATGATATATGACTAACGTCCTTGTGTCTTTTGATAAAATGAACTCATTTGGCGTACAACTGGTACGATAATGTCTATGTCATCTCATAGAAAGTGTTGAACTAGTATAGCAACGACACATTTTTTATTATAGAAAGATAGATTTTAGAGACACCACAATAATATCGTAACTCTAGATTATTGCGTTATATCTTCATGATTGCGTGCAACTACACACTTCTAATTATAGTAGTAATGTAATTCGCATCGATTGAGGGGAAACCATATAATCTACAGGAATGCCAAATATATAAAACATTAATTTCACATCACAATATGAATCTAATTGTCAATCCTAAGTAATGTAGACAAAGATTTTCTAAATCTAATCATTAATCTCCATTTCTACATACAAAGAGTAGATCACTATCTACTCCTTTTCCAGGATTCCTGAAACCTCATAAAAAAGTTGGGAAGAATGCTCTCAACTGCTTCCACAGGCGACCCTGCTCCGGCACAATCGTCGCCCCCCTCAGGCAGGCCACCGGACACATCCCCTGATCGGGCCGGGGCAACGGTAGGGCTGGCGGCGGACACAACCTCCACTGAGATGCTGATCGATGTGGCAACGACAAATCATCAACCCTGTTCGTCCCCTGCCCCGGCGCAACAGTTCTCCTATGCCAAGGCTCTGACAGGGTGGAAAGGGACGCCTGCATCCCCTGCAGGGGACTCCCAATGGACGCCCGTGGGTGTCAATGATCTCATCCCAGGTGACCGGAATGGAGAACCAGCTCTGATGGTGTCATCTGATTTTAGGAACAAGATTTGCGCGCCATGGCAGCGCACCCTGGTGGTCCGGCTGCTGGGACTACGGATTGGATTCCCTACGCTGTGCTCGCGCCTGCGGAGCCTTTGGAAGCCCGCCGGGAATATGGAGATCCTGGATCTCGACCACGCCTGCTTCCTGGTCAAACTGGACAATGAACAAGATTACTTCAGGGCACTCACGGATGGCCCGTGGGTGATCTTCGATCACTATCTCGCAGTGCAGCAATGGACCCCTCAGTTTAAAGTTTCAGACCCTCTACCTAAGAAAATGATCGTGTGGGTTCAGCTACCGGCTTTGAAGATACATTTCTACCATAAAGAAGTTCTCATATCACTCGGAAATCTCATCGGAAGAACCATCAAACTCGATTATCACACGCTTAACAGACAACGGGCAAAGTTTGCTCGTCTCGCGGTGGAAGTCGACATGGCCAAACACTTGGTACCCCGGATCTGGTTAGATGATGCCTGGCAGAAAGTGGAATATGAGAACTTGCCGGCAGTATGCTTTGAATGTGGAAAGATCGGACATTCTGCCTCTGAGTGCCCCCTAATTCACCCAACCCCAGTGGCGACGACGCTGGCCATCGCTGGTCCGCCAGGCACGACGGAGGCGGTTGAGCAAGTGGCCGACGATCCGAACCCGGGCTTCGGCCCATGGATGCTGGTTTCTCGCAAAAGCCGACGGAATTTCAGGGATCACGAGAAGAAAGGAAAGACGGATACCGAAGCTAGGAATCAAATTCAAGGGAATCAGATCAATTCCGGGAAAGCTGGAAACTCCAACAAGGAAAGAACAGCGGTTCCGCCCTCAATCGTGCCCCCTGCCAAGATTACGGCGCAACGGGTCAGTAGCCAAGAAGGGAAAGTTGCTAACGGGAAGAAGAAAGGAGAAGAAGGAAAGAAAGGGAAGGCTGTTTTGATCTCGGAACCAACTAGTGGAGAGGCAGGTCTCCTAGGCCCAGGACCGAGCCGAAGCCCAAAGACGAGCCCCTTACCGAAAACTCCCTCTGATCCTAGTCGGGCTTCTTCATCGGCCCATCCCCCCCTGGAAACCCATCCAAACGGCAGCATGGACCCGCCCAGAGAGAACCGGGACATTGTGATGGCCGCCCCCCCACAGCCCACTTTCCAAACTGTGGTTGGGCCAAACGGCACAGTGATGCAGATAGTGGAAATTACACCATCAGCCGATCCTCACCACGGGAGATCCCTTCACGAGTCCCCGTCGACGGCCGCTCGTATAAAGAAAAACAAAAAACAGAAAGATCAAAAACTGAGGTCGCCGATCAAATTTCCCCCCATGAAATCGCTTCAAATTGGGACCCCTAAGAAGGATCGGAAGCCTAGGTCAAAATCGAGGATTGCCACGCTCACCTTGCAAGAGATAAATGCTTGGAATAGCTCAGCGAAGAGTTCGATTGAGGAGGCAGGGGAGAAGCTTTCGCTGCTCCACACAGAGGGGCAACAGCCGACGCCTTCGACGGGAGGAGGCACCCCCACTCCGACAGCCTGATTGGCCCCCCTTCTTCTCTCTTTTCCCTTCTCCTTTTCTTCCTTTTTATCTATGTCTATGTCTGTGGTTATGCATACTAAAATTCTCGCTTGGAATGTGGGCGGTGCAGGTGGTAGAGCTTTCCTCCGGGCTCTTAAATTGATTATCCATGCTCATCGTCCGGATATTGTGATTCTCTTGGAGCCTCAGATCAGTGGGGCTGCAGCGAACTCGCTGTGCGACAAATTGGGCTTCCCCAAATCAATTCGGGTGGAGGCTTCGGGGCGCAGAGGAGGAATCTGGGTTTTCTGGAATGATAATGTTTCCTCGGCAGAGCTGTTTTCTGCGTGTAACCAGCACATCACTCTCCGGATTGAGCAGCCCAATAGCAGACCCTGGATGCTTACGGCGATCTATGCTTCTCCCAAGTACAGCGAGCAACATCCCCTTTGGGATTCCATCTTCAGAGAGAGCCGTCTGTTTGACATCCCGTGGTTGCTTACGGGGGATTTCAACGCGATCCGAGACCTGGAGGAGAGGGCAAATCCTCCTGCTAGTAGTACGGTTCGAAGGTGTCGTTTGTTCAATGATAGAATCAACATGGCTGAACTGGTGGACCTGGGTTTCTCGGGTCCCAAATTCACGTGGACCAGGGGAGACCAACCCCAGACGTACAAGGCAAGCCGGCTTGACAGAAGCCTGTGTAATCTAGCGTGGAATGAAGCTTTCCCGAATACTTCTGTTCTCCATCTCCCTCGGGCCCAGTCTGACCACAACCCCATCCTGACCTCTATGGGGTCTCAAAGCGGGCTTCCCACCAACGAGCGTCCGTTCCGAATGGAGGCAGCGTGGTTTAGTCATGAGAAATTCCAAGAGTTTGTCACCTCCTCCTGGAACGGGCAGGTTCCTCTTCCAAATCCTCTCCTCAATCTGGCAGGGGGTCTCAAGGAGTGGAACTCGAGCACCTTTGGGAACATCCAGAGAAGAAAGGCCCGATTCCTGGCTCGCATCAAGGGAGTAGAGGATAAACTTTGTGTTCTCTTTTCCCCAGGCTTGGCGAAGCTTCACTCGAAACTTGAAGCCGAGCTTGATAAAGTTTTAGAACAAGAAGAGATGTTTTGGTACCAGCGAGCTAGAGACAATTGGGTGAAATTCGGGGAAAGGAACACGGCTTATTTCCACCACCAGACCAATTTGAAGAGAAGGCGGAAGAAGATTGAGTCCCTGCAGGATGACAATGGAAGTTGGGTGTCAGATCCACATTCCATATCTCAGATGGTTTATGATTTTGTTACCAATCTATACATGCAGGATGACTCGATCTATGAAGACAAGCTCCCAAAGGGCTCTTTTCCTCGTTTGAGCCAGGCTGAGATGATCACTCTGTTGCATCCGTTCACAATCTTGGATATCCACAGGGCAATTTTTGATATGAAACCTTTTCAAGCCCCTGGGCCTGACGGGTACCACGCAGCTTTCTATCAGCATATGTGGAGGGTAGTTGGGAAGGCTTTGACCGACATGGCTCTTGAGTTTTTCTCGACAGGGATCCTTCCCGAGTCAGTGACGGAGTCTACCCTTGTCCTCATCCCTAAAGTGGAGTTACCCGAGAGAGTTACTCAGCTCAGGCCCATCTCGCTCAATAATGTCAGCTTGAAGGCAATCACTAAGGCAATGACCAGCAGGTTGAAGCCCATTATGAGGAAACTTGTGTCACCTCGGCAGAGTAGCTTCATCCCGGGTAGACAGACGGCTGATAACATCTTGGTTGTTCAAGAAGTCTTACACTCCTTCAGAAAAAAGAGGGGGAGGAAAGGGGGGCTGGTCTTCAAAATTGATTTGGAGAAGGCTTATGACAGGCTGAGATGGGACTTCCTCAGGGACACTCTCAAGGAGGTTGGTCTCCCCAGCTCGTGGATCAGCGGTATTATGTACTGTGTAGAGCAGAACAGAATGCGGATTTTGTGGAATGGAGATCTGTCTCAACCGATATCCCCGTCCCGTGGAGTCCGTCAGGGTGATCCTCTTTCCCCTTACCTTTTTGTTCTTTGTATGGAACGTTTGTCTCACAGGATTGATGAAGCTGTGCTTAATGGACAGTGGAAACCCGTGAAACTCTCGGTGAATGGCCCGCCTCTAACCCATCTTTTCTTTGCAGATGACCTCTTATTGTTCGCGGAAGCCGAGTCTCGCCAGATCAACGTGGTCAAGCACTGCCTTGAAGATTTTTGCTACAGCTCTGGTCAAAGGGTGAACTACCACAAGTCTATTATGTATGTTTCTCCTAATATCTCTCGCAGGAAAGCCTCTAGCTTGAGTCACCGCGCTGGGATTCCTCTGAAGGCGGCTCTCGGAAGATATTTGGGAATCCAGGCGATACAAGAACGAGTTACGAAGGATCGCTACCAATCTCTTCTCCTGCGCATCCAAAAGAGGATGGCTCCGTGGAAGGCGAAGCGGCTTTCGTTCGCTGGCCGGCTGACCCTTGCCAAATCTGTGGCTGCCTCGCTTCCTGTGTACAACATGCAGACGGAGCTTCTTCCTAGTAGCATTTGCAAATCCATAGATAAATTGAACAGAGATTTCATTTGGGGAGATAACGAGGAAAAGGCCAAGATGCATCTGGTGGGTTGGGAGGTGATGACACGCCCTAAACTGCAAGGGGGAGTGGGAATCAGACCGACAAGACAAGCCAATTTGGCCCTGCTAGCCAAGAATGGATGGAGACTAATCAAAGACAAGGAGAGCCTCTGGACTCAAATTATGTGGGCGAAATATGGACGCCAAAGACAAGGTCTTGACGTGATCCGGCCGTCTCAGGGAAGTTCCTTTACCTGGGCTAGCATAACTAAAACTGCTAGTCTTATTAAGCAGGGATGTGCGTGGAACATCAAGAACGGTAGGAAAACTAATTTTTAGCTTGATGTGTGGGTTTTGCAGGCACCTCTCCGGGACTTAGCGATTGACAGCATTCCGACGGACTTGGAAGGAATGAAGGTTGCCGAGATGGTCCGGGACGACGGCACGTGGAGAACGGAGCTGTTTGAGCACCTCCTCCCCAGTGAGATCACACAAAAAATCTTGAGCATCATGGTGGATACTCTGGCACAGGAGGATGATGAAATTTTCTGGTCGGCGACGGCAGATGGGAAATTCTCCACCAAGTCAGCTTATAACCTTCTTTCCCAGCAGTCCCAGCACCACTCCGCTCACGATGAAAAGATTTGGAAGGTTATCTGGCGCCTCCCCACCCCGGAGCGTATCAGGAGCTTCATGTGGCTGGCGGCCTCAAACAAGCTAGCTACCAATGTGTTGCGCCACTTTCGTCGAATAGCGGACTCCCCCTGCTGTGCGCGGTGCTCTGGGCAGCCCGAAACAGTGCTTCATATCCTGAGAGATTGTCCGCCAGCCTTGTTCTTTTGGTCGCGTCAAGTGCCCACTGAGATGCAGCAAAGATTCTTTGTCTCTAGTCAGCAGGAGTGGCTTCGAGCTAATCTCTTGAGCTCGGCTTCTACAGCCACGGGGATCGAATGGCCTGCGTTCTTCAGTATCGCCTCTTGGCTTCTCTGGAAAAATAGAACGACTACTGCGTTTAAAGGGATTGGGGCGGCTCTGACCACTCCTTCGCTGGAGCACTCCATTATTTCCAAGGCGAAAATCTGGTATGATTCTTGGATCTCTCCCTCTCCTCTGCAGAATAGCAGGTTGCGCGCGATGGAGAGAACTGTAGCGAACGTCGGTTGGACCCCGCCGGCAGAAGGTTGGACCACCCTCAACGTTGATGGCGCCTCGAATGGTAATCCAGGGCCGGCAGGAGCAGGGGGACTGCTTCGGGATCATACAGGGCGCTGGATAAAAGGGTTCGTCGCGAACATCGGGTCTGCGTCGGCGACCCTTGCAGAGCTGTGGGCCATTAATCACGGCATCGACCTCGCGTGGAAAGAAGGGGCCAGGACTTTGAAGATCGAGTCTGACTCCAAGATGGCTATCCAATTAATTGAGAACAGGCATGATCCGGTTCATCCCTACGCAACCATTTTGTCCTTGATCCGGAGGAAGATTAGTAATGATTGGTTGGTTCGTATAGTTCATACGTACAGGGAAGGGAATAGAGCCGCGGACTGGCTCTCGAAGCACAGTCTCGTCTATCCCTACGGTGCGCATGAGCTTGCGGATCCGCCGATTGGGCTAGTGTCTATCCTTCGTGATGATTTGATGGGTACCACCCTGGAGAGACGAATTGTCATTCCTTCCTCCCTCCCTCTGTAACCCCGGCTGTATTTTCTGTTTTCCTGGCCTCGGCCTCCTTTCTATGCGAAAAAAAAAAAGTAATGTAGACAAAGGAATTGGTAAAACAATTGAACAAAATCTATTTTTTACGATTTGCAACAATAACTCAACCAAATTCGTACCTAAATCGAATAGAATGAAAGATGGAATTGAATAAAAAAAATTTGGATCTTTCAAATTTTGACTCCTATACACATTATGAGCATTGATGGATTGTAATAAGTATTTCCCCTAATTGGTTGCGGAAGCTGCTGCTAGGAAAAAGCCGTCGAACCAATTTCGTGATTAGTTTTTCTTTTCGGTTTAGGGATCGTAATTAAGAGATAATCAAACGATTAATAATAACAATCGTCATCATCCGTTCAGTTTTCGCAATCCAAAAAAAAAACTCCGCTTCAGCTGGCTGACCTCATCATCTTCTTCCCTCTCCGTTGGCACTGTCCGGCTGTCGTTTGTATTCGCGGCTCTCTCTCTCTCTCTCTCTCTCTCTGTGTGTGTAACAAAGTTCACGGAGATCAAGACCGAGCCGTCGGAAAATTTAGGCAGCACCAACAAGAAAAACCGAACAGACGATTTCCCAAAATAATATCTAGGGTTTCGAAATTCCTTCTCTCTCGCTCCTCCTTCGCGCTCTTCTCTCTCTCTCTCTCTCCCTCTGTGTCTCTCTCCCCGCCATCTGCGATTTCCCTCTCTCAATCGCCATTCCCCCCTCGAGCTCTTCTCCTTCTTCTTTATTACTTTTCCGCTTTTTGCACGGCCAGCTTTTGTCCGCCGGGTAACATTGGAGGAGGGAGGGAGAGTAGTGCTTCTCACGTCTTTTCTCGTTTGGTACCTCGGGGACCCCCTGAAATTTTTTTTCTTCTTTTCGGGTTTTTTCTTCAGTTTTGTTTCGCCGGCATAGGGGAAAATATTTACAGTGAAGGAAAGAAAAAAGAGAAGAAAGATTCGGCCTTTACGGGAGATTACTCGTTTCCCGGCTTGAGCTGAGGTAATTCCGTCTCTTTTTGTTTGGGTTCATGATGAATTCTCTCTTTTGTCATTGATGGCATTTCTATATGCAAAGAGGGCAATACTCGATCGAGATTGAATCGTATCTGTGGCAATTGTTCGTCGGGATGTTTGTTGGTTTTGTAGTCTTCGTTTCTGTTTCGTTATTTGTTCTATTCTTTCTCTAGGTGTTGAATGATTCTTTTTTTTTTTTCATCTCGAATCTCAGGGCGGAATGAGCTGTCTGTAGGGATTGGGGGAAGAAAGGAAGGAAATTTTCTGTTAAAGAATCTTGCAATCGCCAAGGGGGAGAGACATTTATTAGGGAAAGCCTTGTTTTGGTATGTCAGATAGCATTCTTTGAATCGTTGTTCTTAATCATCGTCGTGAGATCACTTGTATTGGTTTCTAGTTGTTGGGTTGCCTATGGATTTGGAAGTAGCTGCTGCACCATTTGCTCGGCCTTCTAGGGATCTGGCCAAATGTTGCAATTGTGGATGTAGCTGCTGTTCTACGGGCTCTTCCTCCTCTGGGCCCTGGATAAGATCTGTGAAGCGGAAATATGATGAATTTGAGGGGAAGCCTTTTGTTATACCGGGTCTCGATCTCGTGTCGAATCCACGGATCCAAATTGAGAACGAAATTGTTGCCCTGAGAGAGAGCGTCAGTACCCAACAGCAGGCGATTCAGGATTTGTATGCTGAACTGGAAGAGGAGAGAAATGCTGCTTCCTCAGCTGCAAATGAGGCCATGTCTATGATCTTGAGGTTGCAGAGGGAAAAGGCCGAGGTGCAGATGGAGGCAAGACAGTTCAAGCGTTTTGCAGAGGAGAAGATGGCCCATGATCAGGAAGAGCTTGTGTCTTTTGAAGATGTGTTGTACAAGAGAGAGCAGGCTATTCAGTCTCTTACCTGTGAAGTGCAAGCCTACAAGCATAGGATGATGAGTTATGGACTTACAGAGGCCGAGGTGGAAGGTGGGATTAGCCGGAACCAGAGCATGTCCGATAATATGGGTTCACAGTTTGATTTCGCAGAATATGACTACCCGCCACTGAAGTGCAATATGAACGAGAACCAAGCTGCTGTTGAGGCTGATGAAGAAGAAGTTGTGGATGTTGAGAAATATGCATTTGGTGAAACACCTCGTTATGGGGAAGTGCCTCGTCATAACGAAACTCCTCGTGGTAGGGATCATTTGAAGAATCTGGAATATAGAATCTACCAGATGGAGAGGTCTCCCAGGAGTAGTCAATTGGATGCTGCTGATGTTTCTGGTGGGAACGGGAAACATATCTTGGAGAAGGTGATAGTTGGTCACTCTCCAAGAAAGACCAGGCATAACCAGATTCTTTCTGTTGAGAGCCCGCGTTCATTGAGAGGGGTAACGAGAGATACAGCTCCAGAATCACCTTCATACAAGTTCCCTAATAGCTTTAAGAAGGCAGATTATGTTACTCATCCTGAAGAACACAAGACTCCGAGGAAGGCAGATAATAATGCCTCAGAATTTGAAGATGAGATGTATGACAGAGTTTATACCATTGATTCTGTCCACAATGGAGTAAATGATCATAAAGAAGATTATGTTTCAAGTCCAATAACAGATATGTTTGATCAGCCTGACCTGAGCGATCCTGATATCAAGAAACTATACACAAGGCTTCATGCACTTGAGGCTGACAGGGAATCAATGAGGCAGTCACTAATCTCAATGCGTACTGACAAAGCACAATTGGTACTACTAAAAGAAATTGCCCAGCAGTTGTGTAAGGACATGACACCTGAACGTAGACTACCGGTGAAGAAGCCCTCCATTGCGGGAACCGTGAAGTTCGTATCGGTTGTCAAGGTATGATTGGTGTGCTATGGCCTTTTTCTTTGATCTGATACATTGACTACTATATCTGTGAAAATTATAAATCCACGTTCTTTCGAAACTACTTGTCATTTGATTCATTCATTCTCGTGCTATTTGGCCCGTAATTAACTTTCTTCTGGCTGCCTGCCAGGCATCAAAGACTGGTAAGTGGCACTTTTAGGGGGTAAGGGGAACATTTGTTCTTCTGCTTTCTTTTCTTCAAATGGCTTCTTCTTGTTTCTATAGTGTTAATTTCTTCATGCTCTGAACTGTTTTGATAATGTTAGAATATTTGCTTGATTGATCGTTCCATTTAATTATTTACATTTCTTCCATTTTTTATGTGCAGTGGGTTACATCCTTTGCCTTCTGGAGGAAGAGAGCTCGCCAAAGCAGCAGGTAAGTGAAAGTTGATTCATGTCTAGTTGAGCTGAGTTTATTTGTTCGAACTGTGACTTCCTCGCACAGGCACATTCCAGCAGCAGGGAAATAATGTTTACTTATTTTCCTGCTGCTGGATACAATCGTTCCTCTTAAAACCTAAAGCACGTTTTGGGGAGCGTAAACATAATTTCACAATGCCTCTCCATGAAGCAGAGGGGAAAGACCAAAATTTGTGAATATAGAGAAGCTCTTTGGTTTTTTCTGTGTGTGTTTTTAGTATCTTGTTTGGTTTCTTTCTGAGAGTGGCCATTAATTTCCTGCTAATGTTAAGAGGTGTACACACATCTTAATGCTTGTTGAGAATTTGGTCATTTTAGGTACATGTTTGGGGCTACAAGTGACAACGATGGCTTGTTAATGCTTCTGGACAAAGGTGCACGAGCAAGGCAACATTGGAGATTTCTGTCAAGAACCCACCTGTAAAAGCTACATATCTCTTACCAATGCTCCCCAAATACGGACATTTTGGGGATCAAGTAGGGTAATTGGATCCAATTTGTGAAGGTGTTGTTTGTGATTGGTATATGTGATTTTGGTGGTGGGTTCTTTCATGGGTTGAGTTTTGTTTTGCTGGGTATGAACAACGTATGTGAGAAAAAGAAAGGAGAAAAGAACAGGAAGGTGTAAACATAGAAGTGCGAGCAGGGTATGCGCAAATGAAATAGCCCTGCCGTTAGTTTGTTTGGAAATTCTTTTGTTTCTTTTAGCTCAAGGCACCGTGCTTGGCTTTTTTCTAACACTCACTCCCTCTCTAGTGTATATTGCAGATTCTTGTATGATTTGTGTAAGATTCAAATGCGCAATGGCTATTGTATTCTCGATCTTACGCCACATTCCGGACAGCGTCATCTCTCTTTTCAACCCCTTTTTGTTAGTTGAACTCAAGTTTCAAGCCCTGAATCCAAGATTGAGATTGATGTTTTTGTTCTCAGATGACTACTTGATCAACCCTTTGTGGCTAGTACTGGGCTAATATCGCTTCTTGATCTTCATCTATATGTTTAACATGCGAGGGCGAAAGATGTAAACTCTTGTATTCTTTTAGTTGCATCTTAAATCCAACGATCAAGTAAAGCAACTAACCATATGACAGGGAAAGCAATTGTGACTGGAAAACTGATGACTTAATAACCAAGTAACCATTGACAAATACTAGCAAACAGCAATGTTTCAGTGGCAGGTGGGCAAATACTGTGTAAGAAAAGCAAGTTCCCGTGAAAGGAAAGAAGGGAGGAACCCTACGACCCATTCATCACAATTCACAATAATGATCAATGATGTGCCAAACCCAATTTTTATCTTAAAAAGGTTCTCTCTGGAAAGGAACAAGACATCATTGCATGTTTGTTGAAATAGTCATTAAGTCCCCAAGGACTTGCATGTAGAACGTGAAAACCAAACCAACTTCTAAGTCATTTATATTGCAGGAATTGCAGGCTGACTGTTAAACTTACAAGCTCTTGCTTACTAAATTCCAACTTTATTTCAACGGTCAATCCAACAAAATCCGAGAAAAAAAAAACGAAAAAGAGACTCCTGATCGCGTGTAGTACATGTATGCAAATTTATATCGTTCGGAGACTAGGATCGTATTCTTATGGTCTCTCACAACCACGTACTCAGGTGATGAGGGACGAGTTCTATGGTTTAACACGAGACTGTGGAGATTGAGGTTCCTCCGGGGTTGAAGTGCCCTTTGATTTTACACAACCAAAAGAAAAGACAGGGCATGTACATAAATATAAGCTCCAGCTGGTGAAGGGCGAAAGAGGGTGATGCGTTGCATAGGCAAGCTCCCCTAGAGTTCATGGGACTCGCAACCTCGATCATGGCAAGATATGAGTTGCTTAATCTTGTAAGGTCTATTTTTACCGTATGTCGTGGCAAACGGTAGGTCTAATAGGCAACAATAATGGACCCTACGGATGTCTGTTGCTTGAAGGAAGTCGATTTTATGTATGAACATCAGTTGAAAAAGAGATCCCTAGAAAATCCTATAACCGACAGCCAGAATAGAGAATCGGTGGCTCTGTAGCCGTTTCTGGCCTGATTTACCCTTTTAGGTCGATTTCGCTCTAATTCGTTTGAGTCACTTTGTCGGCAGAGTAACAGACAACAATTGCCTCATATCATTGGCTCTTTATCTTCTACCCCTTAGGGTCTATTTAGAGGCTTTTCATTAAAGTTTTGGGGAGGAAAAGTCGGTCTATGTCGCTCCTTTCGAGCTCAATCGGGTCTTCTTCAGCTTGGCAACCAAGTATGGAATATTCTGGACGAATTTGGGAGTATTCTGGACGACCCTCAAAAAGGCGACCAGAGCACCTTTTGAGATATTTACAGCTTTTTCTGATGTCGTTTTATGACTATGCTCCAATCTCGATTCTGGCTCCTAGTAGTCGAGTCTTAATGTTCTCCTACATGTACAAAGTCGTCCATTAGGATGCTATGCCCTGAAAACACATTAAACACTACCAAGAGTGTTTCGAAATAGTAAAAGCTATCCTAGAGCTACTAAAACACATCTTGAGTGAATATAAAGCAAATCCAAACTATTATGACAACAAAGATGGAAAAACTTTGCAATTCTGACCATAATATGGAGTATAAAATAATACATTTTACGTGTCATTACGTCAACTCCTAAAAAAATTTCAGGCTATCCAACCTATTCCAAATATGGTTGAGGGCATTGGACTTTGTTATACCATCTCCAATAACAAGTGCCAAACTTTCATATTTGGGTGCTAGTTTTAACATTCGAGATGATGCTATTGATACCCATTTTCGTCAGCATTTTCCAAACTGAAAAATTTCTTTCGAAATAAAATTTTCAACTAATACTTCAAATTTTATTTCAAAGCTTAAAACACAAGATCTTCTCGTGCGCAATCTTGATTTGACATTTTGGATTTAGTCATTATTGTTGCAGTGTCAAGACTATGAATTTATATACTTTTTATGTTCTTCGGTTGAATCTTCTTTCTTATGTTTGTCCTCACTACATATGATTTTGAGAAGCGGGTCTTAGGGTTATATATTTTTTGGCAATTCAGATTAACTAGAAATGTCGTATCATTCTGTCCTCTTAATTGCCAAACACAAGAACACTTAATTGCTTACCAAGACATTAGGTTAGGCCATTTGAGTATTGATATTCGGAATATTGTTTAGATGTTTAAAAAATAATTGATCTGCCTTCAGTTTCATATTCATAAGCTTTCTAAGAAAAAACTTTATTTTGAGCAATCTTCCTTTCGAACAGACCTTCAAGGTTCTTCCATCGCTTCCTCCAACTATATATTATCTGAGTTATTATCCGGCTTAGCTTAAATTCCTAGAACTGAGTTATTATACAATAAGTTACAATCAATGGCGTACGTAGTCAGGATTTTTTTTAGAGTGTGTTTATTGAGAAAAAAAAAATACATACGATAAAATAGAGTTATTAGTTTTATAAATAATTCACGATATAATTTAGTATCTATAAGAACTTGGCAAATTAAATATATGTCAAAACTTATGCTGGAAGATCAAATCGTCGAATTCCAAACTGAGGACGTGGCGGCCAGCATGCAGAGGGCAAAACAGAGTCTGTTGGGGCGGCTATTTCTTGATAATAGGCCGAGTCTCTCAGTGATCCAGAAGATAGTCAAGGGTGCTTGGAATTGCTCCAAGAAGATTACGGTGCTGGAGGCGGAATATGGCCTGCTGCAGTTCATGTTTGATGATGCCTCGGAGATGGAATGGGTACTTCAGCGGACGCCATGGCCAGTCAGGGATAGGGTGCTGCATCTGCAGCCCTGGGAACCGGTCACCCCGGCGGTGAGGGATGCTCTTGCGTTTGTGCCGTTCTGGGTACAGATGTGGGGTATCCCGTCCCATTGCCGCACGGTGGCGTTTGGCAAAAGGGTGGCTGCGACAAAGATCGGCGAAGTCCTGGATGGAGGTCTGTTCGGGATCAAGGGGGAACCGGGACATTTTGTCAAAGCGAGAGCAAAAGTGAATGTGCTGGAGCCTCTCCGATCGCAAATTTACGCGAGCAATGAGGTGGCCGGAAAATTTTGGGTGTCTTTTGTGTATGAGTTTTTGCCGCTGTATTGCTACCATTGTGGCAGGTTAGGGCACTTGGAGCGCGACTGCACCTTCCCGGATCCATTGGGGATCGAGAAATATGGCCCCGGTTTGTCAACGGATATCACCGGCTACAGGTTGAATGAAGGGTCCTTGGTGGCAGTGAATCAGCCGCTGCAAACATCTGTTTGGGTGAATCCCAGGACCAGTGGCAAAGCTGGCAAGAGAGGGGAGGCTAGTCAAACTCAGGCGGTCTCTTCTGGTGGCGGAGGTGAAGCTCGGGGTGATAATGTTATACTTGGCCTTCCTGCGGAAAAGGCTGCGGTGCGGAAAGAAAAAGGGGAGGCTGGGATGAGAGGGAAGGCGCCTCTGAAGCAGTTTGGGAAAGCAAATGCTGGGCAGCAAAGGGTGGGGAGTGGGGAGAAATATTCCACTTCCCATGCTAAGGCTGGGGACAAGAAGCAGACGGCAGTGGAGGGAAAGGGAAAGGGGAATGTGGGCGCTGGCCATGGTGGCAAGGAACCTGCTGTGTTGGCAGGGAAGAAAGGGGTGGTTGAGCCTAGGAAAAAGGCTCTGGTGGAGGTTTCCTCTTGTGTGTTTGGCGATACTGTTTTGCAGGGGATAATGGCGGATACAGAGGAGCTCAAGCTGGCCACGGACAAGCTACAAATTGACGAGTATGGGAGCAACATCTCTACGATGTTCCATATGGTAGCGCCAGAGCCGGAGGGGATTGAGGAGAAGAAGAGAGTGGCGGAGGAAGTGGCTGGGCTTGCCCCAGACCCGACGCCCCCAAAGAAGCTGTGCACGGATGCGGAGGGAGGAGGGAAGATCGGAACGGTGGAGGCAGCCAGCCGCGAGTGGCCCCCATCGGCCAAATGAGGATTTTGTCATGGAACGTGCGAGGAATCGGGCCCTCTCTCACGTTCCAATCTTTGTTGGGGCTTGTTCGGTCAAATAGTCCAGATTTAATTTTTTTGTCAGAAACTCGTTCGCGTCGGAAAGTTGTTTCTCGCCGTATGCGAGGGTTAGGGTTCGAGTCGGATTTTTGTCATTTTGTTGATGCGGAGAACACTTCCGGAGGTCTTGTTGTGGGTTGGTCCACGGATTTGGATGTGTCCATTTCTTGTAATTCCGCATTTTTTATTTCTGTTGAAGTTAAGAATAATGATTCTCATTATATTGTGGTGTGTGTGTATTTAAGTTGTGTTGCGCGAAATCGGCAAGTTCAACTTGAGGAACTTCGCAATTTCTGCGCGGGCCTCTCAGTGCCATTTATTGTACTAGGCGATTTCAATTCGATTCTGGCTTCAAGCGAGAAATCGGGCGGAAATCCTTGGGTACCTGCTCAATCGGAGGACCTTCGGAACTTCGTGAGCGATTTAGGTCTTCATGACCTTGGTTATAGTGGGTATCCATTTACCTGGACCAACCGCAGGTTGGGTGCGGCATGTGTGGAGGAACGACTCGATCGGGCTCTGGGCTCGGCCTCGTGGGTTGAGCGCTTCCCGAACACCATTGTTAAGCACTGCACGGATCAAGGCTCGGACCACCGGGCTTTGCTAGTTGCGGATAAGCCTTTCCAACGCAATTGTCGCCCGTTATTCCGTTTTGATGCGCGGTGGGTGGAAAATCCGGAGGTTCGCCTCATGGTGCGGTACGTTTGGGATCAAGAGGTTAGTGGCTCGCCTATGTTTCGTCTTTGGACACGTCTTAAATTTTTACGGCGTCTCCTATATGATTGGAGCCGGGCGGGTACTACTAACTCGGCACGTAATATCCGAGCGTTGCAAACTGAAATGGATAGTGTCCGGGCAGAACGACCCACTAACTGGGATAAGGTTCGGGATCTGGAGACGGAGTTGAACAAACAATGGGCGGCGGAGGAGGTTTTTTGGCAACAAAAATCTCGCGTCCGGTGGCTGAAGAAGGGGGATCAAAACTCATCGTATTTTCATTTCGTTACGAAGGCCCGCCGAAAGCGAAATTTTGTTGAGGGATTGCGTAACGTAGATGGTGATTGGGTCACCGAGGAGAGTCAAAAGTCGCAGGTTGCTGTGGAATTTTATGAGCACTTGTTTCAATCAGAGCTAAATGCGCCAGGTCTTGCGGAACGGGTGGCTTCTCTCCCAATAGACCGGCGGGTCACAGATCACATGAATAATCGGTTAACGGCGGAAGTCTACCCGGAGGAGATCAGGAAGGTGGTGTTTTCAATGGGCGCGACTCAGGCCCCGGGATCCGATGGGTTTACCGGGAAATTTTTCCGCGCTTACTGGGATATTATCGGTGACACTGTTGTTGAGGCTGTGCGGTCGTTCTTCGTGAACGGTCGCATTTTGCGAAGTTTCAATCACACGTGGCTCACGTTAATCCCGAAAGTTGACGTGGTGGAGGATATGCGCCAGTTGCGACCTATTAGTCTTTGTCAATTCGTCTATAAAATCATAACAAAGGTTATGACTGAAAGGTTGGCAATCCACCTACCACAAATTGTGTCTCCGGGTCAGAACGCGTTCATTAGGGAACGCCAGATTGTGGATAATGTCCTCATTGGGCACGAGTTGATGCATTACCTAAAAATCAAAACAAAAGGCAAGAAGGGTTATATGGCCCTCAAGGTTGACATGGAAAAGGCCTATGACAGGGTTGAATGGCCCTTCTTGCTCGCTGTTTTGGAGAAATTGGGTTTTAATGAGGTCTGGATCAATTGGATCTGTGAGTGTCTGTCATCGGCCACATTCTCAGTTATGATGAATGGGAAACCCTCGGGGTATTTTCGCTCTACGCGGGGTCTGAGACAGGGGGACCCTCTGTCCCCGCTCTTGTTCGTCCTGTGTACGGAGGGGTTCGCGGCATTGTTGCGAGAAGCCGTCAGGGATGGGCACCTAGCGGGGGTTCGGGTTAGCCCCCGGGCGCCGCGTGTCCATCATTTGTTTTTTGCTGATGACTCGTACCTATTCCTCAGGGGATCTATGGCAGAGTGTGAGCAGTTGAAAACTCTTCTGCACGAGTATGAGGTGTTGAGCGGTCAACGGGTTAACTTAGCAAAATCAGCGGTTTGCTTCAGCCGGAACATTGAAGAGGAGCAGTGTGCGGCAATGGCACAGTGTTTGGGGGTGGGAGCTGTAGGGGTTCAAGATAAGTATCTTGGCCTACCTACCCTGATTTCCCGGTCAAAAGCAGATACCTTTCGGTATTTGGAGGAGAAATTGCTCCAAAAATTGCAAGGGTGGAAACAGAAGCATCTTTCGCTGGCTGCGAAGGAAACCTTGTTGAAGTCGGTGGCTGCTGCTTTGCCTGTCCATGTTATGTCATGTTTTAAGCTCCCCCTATCGTTGTGTCGCACGTTGGATAAGCACCTAGCTCGGTTTTGGTGGGGGGCTCAGGAAGGGCAATCACGGATCCACTGGGTTTCCTGGAAGAACCTGTGTCGTAGCAAGCATGATGGTGGTCTTGGTTTTCGTCGGTTTGAACAATTTAATCAGGCATTGTTAGCTAAAGTGGGCTGGCGAATTCTTGAGAACCCAGATTCGCTCTTGGCGCAGGTGTATAAGGGTAAATATTTTCCTAACGGATCCCTGCTTGCAGCTCGAAAAGGGTCTCGACCCTCCTGGGGATGGCAAGGAGTCCTGTACGGTTGTGACCTGTTACGGCAAGGATTGCGATGGCAGGTTGGGTCCGGGGATAGTATTCCGATGGTTGGTGCATCCTGGATCCCGAGGCTGCATGGGGAGTCAGTACGGACTAATCCGGGTGTATATTTCACGGGGACGGAGAGGGTCTCGGACTTTCGGGTGTCGCCTAATGGGGAATGGTGTTTGGAATGCTTGCAGTTTTGCTTCCCACCTAGGGAGGTAGCGGCAATTTTATCCATCCCATTGCCCAATATGCCGGTTGCGGATAAGCTGGTTTGGCATGAGGATCCGTCTGGGATGTATACTGTCAAATCGGGGTATCACTTGGCGATGCGATGTTCCCGGGCTCGTGATCGATGGAAGGTGGAGGTTAGTTGGATGGACCGCAATTTGTGGATGGAGATGTGGGGATACCCTATACAGCCTAAGCTCCGATTCTTTCTTTGGCAAGTGTTTCGCCGCATCCTGCCTACCACGGAGAAGTTGATAGCCAAGGAGGTGGAAGTATTGCCTAGGTGTCCTGTGTGTTGGGCGGAGGAGGAGACGATTGAACATCTGATGCTCTTCTGTCCGGTGGCAGTGGCTCTATGGGAAGCATCGGGCCTGCTGCAGAGCTTGCATGTAATCCCGCGTGAGCATATTGGTATTTTTCTTCGCCGGCTCTTGGCAACTGATAAGTCTCCGGAGAAGGTTGTAAAGGTGGTGGCTCTCCTCTGGCGAATCTGGAAGGCTCGGAATTGGGTGGTGTTTCAAGAGAAGCAGGTCCTCATTCCGGTGTTGGTGGCGCAGTATCAAAGCCAGGTCAGGGAGTGGCTGGCAGTCCTAGGGGATGGGGTGGCGCAAGCAGGGGAGGGGGAGAGGATGATCACACGTACCACGCCAGTCGCAAGTTTGCCGGCTGGGGTCAATTGTTTTTTTGATGGGGCGATTCGTGCAGGTGAGCGGGCAGCAATTGGGATGGTGTTGTGTGATGAGTCAGGGGGGTCATTATGGCGAAAGGGGAGCAACTTCATGGTGTTCAGGATCCGGCAATGGTGGAATTGGTGGCGTTAAGGGAGTCAATTAGGTGGTGTTGTGGAGTAGGTTTTCCATCAGTCAATCTGGCAGGTGATGCGAAATGGATCATCGACAAGGTCAGAGCAGGGGTGGTTAATGATGTGCTTGGCGGAGCTCTTTTGGAGGAGGTCAAGCGTCTGCTCTGGGATCGTCCTGGACTCTCGGTGCACTTTGTAGGCAGGCAGAACAATAGGGTAGCCCATCTAGTGGCTAGAAAAGCCCTCTCTTTGTCCCTGCACGATTTGAGCAGTTTTGATTTTTGCGCTTGGCTCCGTTCGGAGATCTAAACGTTGTATCTTTGTTATTCTTGGTAATACAAGCTATCTTTGGTTAAAAAAAATATATATATGTCAAAACTATCAAGAGTATAACTCTATGTATAAAATAATTATGAGTTAATACCTTATTTTGGCCTGAACAGTAACCAAACTTTCTACTTTGGCCCGTGATTTGTGAAATTACTCATCTGACCGAACTATGTACCATACTTCCTTGCTTGGCTCGGAGCAAGTTTTGATCGTCAAATTGGACGGTCAACTCCATTGACTGTTAGTCAAACGCCAGGTCACTTGGCACGTCAGCAAACCCGAAATAAAATTTGTGGATTTTTGTAATTATTTTCGTTATCCAATTTTTGAATGTTTTTTTTTGTTAATTATTATTGTTATTAGAAAACAAAATGAATTAAATAAATTCAAAATCCAAAAATTTTATTTCAGGTTCGCTGACGTAGCAAGTGACGTGGAGCTTGACTAACGGTCAAAACCGCGCAGGGCCAAGTAAGGAAGTATGATGCATAGTTCGGGCCAGGGGAGCAATTTCAGAAACCACATGCCAAACTAGAAAGTTTGTTTATAGTTCGGGCCAAAATAAGGTATTAACCCAATAATTATTCATGATTTCGTTAGACATTTGCTTTTGAATGTTGTTCTTTGTCAATAGAGTTTGTATCAATAACTCGAGTTGTTGGGAAAGATTTAATAATGGACCTTATACTATTTAGTATTTACTAACACTTCCCCTGCTAACGAAAACCAACTTATACGTGCTTAAGGTTTTTGCAAATCCGAATATCATCTGCTTAACAAATTAAATGGGGTCACCGAGATTCGAACAAGTGATCTCTCGGTCAACCATTCTCAATTAAAAGTGCCCTAAGTTTCATTCTCAATTAAATATTATACTAATTTAGTAAAAAATAATTTCCTTAGGAGCCACCTCGTACACTCTCTCTACCCCCCTGATTGAAATAGAATCACTTTAGTAATTAGCTATGATTCAGTGGAAATTTGCTGTTGATATTGAATAAATAAAACGTTAATTCTGGGCGGATCATATGTGAACCATTGTCCTTTGTACATAACTCATTATAAAAACATTGAATATGCGCCAATACCCAACTCATAAATCATACATCACATATTTAAAAAGTCAACCATCTCCATTTAAATACGTATTATTTTCATACTTAATTAACTATTACACGTAACTTACCATTTTTCCCCCTTCGAACCCACCCTCTAACCCTCTTCCTCCATCCCTAGTTACAATAATTGACGTTAAAAACGTATAGCATGCCAACCAAAGATCGATGTGCCTTTCTTTTGATAGTTTCAATCCCCCCGTTTTACTAGCTAGCTCGAATTGTCGAGGATGAAGCGGTTGATAACATCGACCAATTCATGGGACGTCTCCGAGTAAGGATCGTTGGTGAAGAAACCATGTTGCTTTCCTTTGATCTCCACGTACTCAACTTTCTTCCCCATCTCGGCTAGCTTCGTAGCGTAGTCGTGGCTCCTATCCCTCAGCAGCTCACGCTCGCCAACGATCACCATTATCGGATCCATGTCCACCTTTTCAAGCTTCTTGCAGCAGCTGGCGGCTCCAAATGGGTTCGCCAATGGATGGTCTCTGTCTTCTCCCGCAGGCAAAGACAGCCTCCAAAACCTGCGGTTTGAAAAAAAAGTTTATAGTTAATCTACGTACGTACCACTAATTATAATTACTAGTAATTAATTTCATCAGTTTCCACTAATCATCGTACTATATATCAGGGGCGGAACTACATGTAACCTAGGATGGGCCCCGGCCCTCCCGGGATTGGTCTCAACCACTAGAATTTTAAGGATATTTAGTACAAATTGTATAAATAAACTTGTTCTGTAAATCTTGTTGTGTATTAGTAATGTGGTCTAATGGTAGTTAAACTTAGCTTGAGTTTTAAAGCACATGGGTTCAATTCATACTGACCACATACATTTTGTTTAATTTTTTTCGGCCCCCGATCTCGAAATCCTGGCTCCACCGCAACTATATATATCGCCTTTTGGAAAACGCTCCTTTCCCATTTGGGTTATCATAACATTGGGTGCACTAATAGTAAATTAAATTTGTTCCTACGAATTAAAAAAAAAATTAACGTTTTAATTACCTATCCAAATCCTCGAGACTCATCATCTCCTCTCTCGGCCCTTCCTCCGACTCGGTCCTCGAAACCCCGCCAAAAAACGGCGCCAGCAGCACATAACCTCTGACCCGTACCGGTCCTAAACCCAACGAACCGGCCCCGAGTCGAACCGCCACGTGGTGCGCAATATTCCCACCCGACGAATCACCCACCACGAAAACACGGTCAAAGTCAGCGTTACCAAACCACTCATCGCCGCCGCCAGCTGCCTGAGACTGCAGCCACGTCACGGCCGCGACGCCGTCGTCCATGGCGGCCGGAAGCCGGTCCTCGGGAGCCAGACGGTAGTCCGGGGCCACGACGACGGCGTCGAGGGCGGAGGAGAGGCGCTGGCAGCCGTTGTGACAGCTGGGCCAGTCGCGTGAACCGACGCAGAACCCGCCGCCGCGAAAGTAGAAGAGGACGGGCAGGCGGCGGTCGTCGTCGTTGAAGGCGGAGGCGGGCTTGTAGAGGCGGAGGCGGAGGTCGTGGGGTTCGGAGAAGAGGCAGTCCTTGTGGAGTACGGATTGGTCGTCGACGGGTTGGGTGGGGAAATCTATGTTTTGGTGACGGAAAACGGTGCCGTCGCTAAAGAGCTGGAGCACGCCCATGCAGTCTTCCACTACCTCGGGAAGCGAACCCATTTTCTGTTTTTTTTTTATTCTCTCTACTGTACTTTTGAGGGGCGTTTCTCTTTTGAGAGATTTTGACGATTTTGGGGTTTCCTTAATTAAATAGGCAGAAAGGTTGAGGGAAGAGTGATTTTTATAGTGTCAAAAGAATTGGGGGGTTTTTATCATTTTGTTTCTTTTGATTTTCTTACATTAACAAACATATTGGATTAAAGTATGATACAAATTGTTTTTTTTTTTTACACAAGATTTTGAGGATATTATGTGGAGGGAAGGAATTGAGCCAATTAAGCTAGTGGTGGCATGTGGGTCTAGGGCTATTGGTGCGTGGATGTAGAAAAAACTCTTTGGCTTGTTTTCTGTTTCATTTCTTTTTTTCCATAAACTTTCTATCTCGTAAATTCTGGGAAAGTTCCAAAGTACTGTTGTTTGAAGGTAAGGAGAACCATGCATCGGATGATTGTCGAGAATCAATAAGGTACGAGGGAGAGATTCGTGGTTAATAAATAGGAAACCGTTGTCTTAACTACAAGGATGAAGCATTTTGAAATGAAATAAAGACTCCAAAATTAAACTATGAAACACTACAAGGATGTGTGAGCTTATAGTAAGTCGCCGTCATATACATCCAAGTCGAACACGGTAATATTCTCGCCCGGCCCCTCACACGACAAGAGATTGCAATATTGGTGCGCCAAAAACGGTGTTGGAGTTTTTGCGGCTTTGTAGAATTAATACGGCTGCAGCATATGCATGCAATCTGTCTAGCGACCGATTCCTGGTCGTCGGCACACGGACGCTGGCTGTGGCTGCTGGCACTATTTGTTTGGAATTACGTTTTGCAACTTTTGTGCTTTCGGCTTGCATTAATATAAATTTCTTGGTCAGATTATGCATATAACTGTTCTGTATGTGCACCTATTAATTATTATTATAACAAGCAAGCTCGCTAGAAAATGATAGCCGATACTTCACAGCCGGTGAGGTGATAAAAGTTGGCCTGCCATAAGACCAAGAAGCGCGTATTAATTGGATTATAAATGGAAAGAGTTTGTTTTGTTATTAAATGAAAAATTATGTTGAAATTTGACACGACGACACTGATTCAAATAATGAAATTTTCTTTGAGATTGTCCATACACGAAAACAAAAGAAATTAGCCCCTGCAAATCTATAGAACGAATGACCCATACATAGAACTACAAATTAAACTCTATCACAAAAGATAAAAGCGGGTCTTTAAAGTATAGCCGAACGATATCAGCAACTAGTGATTTGAAATTTCTCATAGCGAGATATTTGACCTATTTGTAAAATTTTAACAGTTCATATTCAATAGTGCAACATATATAATAATATAAAGGTACTAAAATACATCTATTCAAACACACCTTAAAAATAATTTGATTATATTTTTATATATATTTTAAAAGATAGAAGCACACTTACACATGATATTGTTATTGTTTCTCTCTCGGCCGAGTCAAGTGCCATCCCCCTGGTGTTACATGCCGATCGGCTACGCCGAACGTGAGTTGTAATTTTGTTTCTTTTTTCCCGTCGCTAAAAGTCAAAGCATTAATCACAAGCCTTATCTTTGCTCTAGTTAGTTTAGCCAAAATCTAATCCATATCTTAACTCTCAATCGAGCACCTCAATGATCCAATTAACGTTCCGTTCCTTATCTACTTCAATACTTCGTGCACAGTATTATTAATTATCAGTATTTATTTAATGATAATGAGGATTGGATGCCGCCACGCTTACAGCATTCGAGTGTGATGAGTGCTTTTTTAATTTAGTGGAGTAAATGGAAATGTCTGCATCTCTTGTACGTACAGGCTACAGCTATACCAATTCTTCTGCTCTACTGACCTTAGTTCCAATGAGCAAGTGGATCGTATCAGAGGCTGGAAAAATATATTAGATAGTTTGAAATATTGTGTATTAAATTGGATCGTATAATTTGGTATGGACCGTAGACTATTAAATAGAAATAACGGTTTGGTCTGGTTCATGGTATATATTATAAGATGTATTTATTTCTTGATTAGGTATAGTCTAGACCGCAGGTTAGCGGACCGAACCCACTTCCCAGTTCTTGTTAGCAAACTCGACCACTCCCAACTCCTCAATGACACTCAAGTCTCGGTCCAAATTTTGCAAATCTTTTCGTGTCTCAGTATGACATTATGTTAATATTTATCATTTTAGGTGCAAGTTGGGTTACTCTTACTTTATGTTTTTTGTTATTTATTTGGATTTATGGTATCAAAATCATGCATGCGTGTTGGAATTTGTGTTTTAAGGAGAACAAACCTTTTTTTCTCGATTATTGGTTCGATTCTTTTGTGTGATTGACAAAAAATTGTTCAGCTTTTGCTTAATATTGTGGTATGCATGGTCCAGACCGCACATGTATGGTCTGGACCATGTAGAATGTTGTATGTCTATATTCTATACTCCAACTTCTCGATTTTGATCATAGATCGTGTATATGGTTTTGCCTATAGCAAACCACACAATTTCCCAGCACTAGATTGCATGCTTGGGTAGAACTTAGAGCTCGTATGGAGAATATGATTGTGGTCTTAGATCATTAAATCAATAGATTCAACAAAAAAAAAAAATTTTTTTTGCTATTTTTGTGTGGAAAATTTTAGTTTTGGAGATTTCAAATCTTTAAAATCTAGAGATCTCAAATCTTTCCTAACCAAAAAGATTCTATATCTTGATTTGTAAGCTATTTTTTTCTCCTACTTTTTCTCTTACTTTTACTTATTTATCCCACTAAATATCCTTATCAATAAATCGTCAACATTTTTTCCACTTTGATTATTACTCTAAACATGTCATTTGATTAAAACAATTTATTTTTTACTTAAATTTTAACAATCGCAGTTACCAAACAATGAAAATTTCAAAAATATTTTTCGACAATCCAAAAAATTAAAATATTTGAATTATTTAAAATCTAGAGATTTATACTTCAATTCTCCAAACCTGCCTTAAGCCTTGGTCTTAGGAGCCGAACAGTCCACCCGTGTTTCCATCAGGAAAAAATGCTCACCAATCCGATTATATGTAGGAGGCAGAGATGGTGTTTCCTCTGCAGTTCAAGAAGTTGTCTGATAAGGATTGGAGTTGATGAAGATTCATTCATGGTTCATGCATATATATATATATATATATATATATAATGGTTCATGTATGTATAGCTAATTAATGCCTTTGTCTAGAGTCTTTGTACTTGTATCTCTTTGATCTCCATTCTCCACATATAGTGATCACTATACAAGAATGTTTAACCATATGATAGCTAAACCACAATATACAAGAATGTTTAATCATCATTAACTTCAATCTTCATCATTGCCCATAGCTACTAGCTAAATGAAAAACATGGAAACGTTCAGATTTTTTATGGGATTGAATCGAGACTATAATTCTTCATATGGGTTCTGTTAATAACATTATTATTCATGTGGTTTATTCAATAGGTACATCACAAACATGATGTTGCTATCTACATCACAACTCTATTATTGTCATTAAGAACATTGGACAGAGCCATAAAAATAAACCCAATTAAGGTACGTTGTTACCAAGTATTGTAGTTCTATCTCGGTCATACACAGTCGTCACTGAATGCTTTTGCATCATATATAGCAAGAAACCCCCATAAAAAAAAAAAAAAATTGCAGCTATTGTTGTTATGAAAATGTCGTGCGGTGAGACTTGGAAGCCGCACGTAGACAGATGACCTATGTACGAGTAGTTAGTTGGCCAGATAGAACGCCATGGTGATTGCGCATCTGGTTAAAAGTAACCACAAAAGAAAAAGCAGCGTGTAAAATGAGGAGCAGGTAGAGAGAAAGCTTTACTGATGGAAACTGATGAGAACGATATTTACCTGCCACCTTTTACTTTTTACTTTGTTGATGAACATCCCCACAGTTCAATTATTCTTCGCTGCTTCTCTACTTCGATTGATAAAGAGATTAAGAGATTGTTATGATATCGTTACTGTTTGAGTCTAGAATGTTCTAGGCGGTTTGTGGAAGCGAGCAAGGCGTCTGTTCCAGATGATGGGGGATTCCAAGCTCCTGCAAAACAAGGGTCCGTGGGCGGTCACCCCGGACACCCTCCGAATTCCGATGCTTAAGTTAGAGAGGGAATATGAGTTTTTTGTAATGTTTAGAGAGAGAGAGTAGTTGGTTTACCATCAATGCAGATAGGAATGTATTTATAGTGGTTTGGGCTGGACTTCGAGCATTAAATGCCATGTCAGGCGTCCTAGATCAGGCTTTGCTTTATCTAGACCGCCTACGACGGCAATTAATGCTTAGTCCTGCAGTGTTCGAGGTGAGTATCCTCGGAGGATCTCCCATTCTGCCCGTAACGGCTCTTTGTGTCAGGCGTCCTAGTACCTGTCCTGTCCTAGTATGGCCGCCTTCCTTTCTCTGTTCCCCATGCGCTACGTTCCCCCAGATGCACTCTCATGGGCCCTTTGAACGGGCCTTACTCCTTGGGCTTCCAAGCCCAATGCCGCTCAGCTATGGCCCAACAATTGCCCCTTAGTCGTGAAAAGCTAAGGATTTTGGCGGCTACTGTTATGTTATTTTGATAGCTGAGCGGTCCTTGCATTAGCTGTTGTCTACCCTTTTGCCCCCTGGCCGCCACAGATCCGTGATTTTCTGAATCTCTAGTCTCCTATACTGGTCTGACTCTTCCTGCTTGTTAGACAACTGCGCTGTCCACCCGCTCCTTCGATTGTCCTGCTTAACTTCAATGTGGTTCACAACCCCGTATCTCGGTTGAAGCATGAGCGACTGCGCTGTCCACCCTCCTTTTGGTCGCAGCGTGCTTCGTTTGGCATCGATCCAAAGGATTTCGAGCACTTGTCGTCCATAAGGGCACTCGATTGCGTCGTTTGCGTTCTGCACGATTCCCAGCATTGTGTCTTGACTGTAATTACAAGCGACTGCGCTGTCCACCCCTTTTTTGGTCGCCACGCTTTTCTTTGGCGTCGATCCGGGAGACTTCCAGGCCTTCGCAGTCCTTAAGAGCGCATGATTATACTGCTTGCATTTTATGCGACTCCCGTCTATGGTGTCCACTGAAATTCTTAAGCGATTGAGCTGTCCACCCCCCTTTTGTTTTTATTAATTGTCGCCGCACGCTTCTTCGACACGCTATGTGGACGAGCGCCTGACTTCCGCCTTTGTTACCGTTTGTGCCCATCGAAAGCCGCTTGTCGATTGATCTTCCACGTCTCATCACACCGCTCATACGCCGCGCCACGTGTCTGGCCTCGGCCTTCGTGCTCTGACAACGGGCACCTTTATGTCCAATCATCTGCCCGACTTTTGAATTTTCCAGGGTAGGGTTTGCCCTAGGTCACTCAACCGTCGCTTCGCTGCCCCCCTCTTCGCATATTTATACTCGCTTCTTCCTTTTTCCCCTCACTTTTCTTCTTCGCATATTTCGCTTCTTCTTCCGATCCTCTCGCCAAAATCGCTCGGTGCTCTCGTTTTTCCCTCTCCTCCTATCTTCGAGACAACTCTTCCCTGTCTCCGCCGAGAGCAATCTTCCTTGCTAAACTCCGACGACGTCAGAAACGAGCGAAAAGGAAGCTTCGGAGACAAATGGCGATCGAATCACAAAGTACAAGTCACTCCGATAGCGCAAATCAGAACCTCTCCGGCGACGTCGTCACCGTCACAACCTCCAGTGACCTTGCAGTTACTGTTTCCGGCGACGCTCGCACTTCCAGTGCCGGCGGCAGCGCTCCCCGGTCATCTTCAAAGTCTTGAGGTGGATCCGACGGACCGCCCTCTGGTAGCCGTCGAGCGATCCCAGGTACTCTTCTTGACCCTCTATATTGTGCGGTTTATTCGTAGGAATAGGATTCAGAATTGACTTCACACGCAAGATGTGAGGCATACTTAGACGGTCTTCGTTATGACCTTTTAGGGGTAGAACTGGATATGGCTCCTGACGCGGGAACGTCGGGCAGATGGCGTGGAGCGTCTTCCTTGGTTGGAGACAACCTGGAGGACTTTGACTATTCCGAGGCGGAGAGTGAGCCGCCTAATAATACGACGTTGCTCCTTCCCTCTGATGGTGGCCCCGCGAACCGCCCAGAGGATGAAGGGAGGGAGTTGTCCCCGTCGTTGACTGTATCCGACGCTTTGCCGGTGGGCGCTTTCCAGGTTATCCGTGACACTACATACCGCGTCCGGCTGCATGAGGACATGTGGGAAGGAGAGCCCGTACCCTCAAGCGCATACGAACAGGGGCCGTCTAATGAGGCTGCGTACAACCCTAAACAAGTCCTTCGACAGCTGAAGACGCACCACCTTCCTACCAATTGGGATTACGCGGCTCTTTCTCCCGCTGGACGGTCGGGTTCTTGTCCGGGCGGTTGGATTCCCATACACGTGGAACATCTTCGGATGGGTCTGACTTTCCCTATCGACCCCATCCTCACCCGGACGCTCCTTTTCCTGAACTGCACGCTGGGACGCTTCTTTCCTGGCATAATTTTTCACTCGATCGCCTTTAGGGCTGCTTGTGCAAAGATAGGCGAGACGCCTTCTTTTGACGCGTTTCGTCATTTGTACAAGATGAGGGGCTCTGAAAATTGCTGGTCTTGTTACCGTCGGGAGTCGCGGGTTGGCATCGTCAGCGGGGCGCCGAAGTTGGATTCCCCTTGGTTTAAAGAATATTTCTTTGCTCGCCCCGCGGATAAGTGGTATTCTGGAGAGGTTGAAACGCCTACTGGCTTTGCGTCCGGAGACAAGAAGGATTGGAACACTGATACTGACGGCCTTGGTCTTGTCAAACCCTTACTAAAGCGGCTCATGAATGCTCTTCAGATTCGTCTCCCCCCAAAGGGGGACGATAATGCCTTGGATATTATTCGGCGTTTTCATGGTTAGTTGCTTTACTTTTCGTGCCGAGCGCGTTTCTCATGGTTTTTGCTTTTAACTTGGCTTATTCCACAGGTACGCGACGGTATGCATCCTCTGCCCGACCGCCTAAGCCCGGAGCCAATGCCCCTGCTTCTCCTGTTGCCGCAGTTGCTCGTCCTGCCCCGGCGGTTTCCCGGCTTCCCCGTCTCAGAAGCAGCTTGTGGCCAGCCAAACTGGTGTGCTGAAGCTCTCTGAGCCTGCTCTGATGAGGAATTCTGTCAAGCGGGCTCTCGACATCACTACCTCAAAGGATTTGAGGGCGGCCGCAAGGGAGCCCCTGTTGAAGGGAGTGCTCGTTGAGAAATCCACTCCAATAGACACATACATTGCGTCTAAGAAACCGAAGAGGACAACCGTCGACACTTCTGTCTCTTTTTCATCGCAAGCGTCTCTATATCCTGCGGCCTCCAAACGTGCTATGCACGTAATCTTGGAAGGTTTGGCGGTCCCCAGCGACTTTACCCCCATTCCTAGAACTCCCGTGTTGGCGTCCGACACGAAGCGTCTGGCAGTCGCTACTTCGCGGCTATTCTTTGCGGTACGATGAGATGATCACTTCCTTCTTTCTCTCCCGCTGTTCTTGTGTTAATTCTTTCCTTTGTGCAGACCCAGTTTGGTCTGAACCAGATCATGTTGGAAAATGACCGCCTGGAGAGCAACCTGCTCGACGCCAAAACTCAGGTGCTGAAGCTGGAGGATCAACTCAAAGAGGGCCGCGAAGGGGTAAAGGCGGAGGTGCGGGAGGACGTCTTGAAGGAGCAGGAGCAGATCATGAAGGCTAAGGATGCCCAGATTGAGGCGGGCAAGGAGCTGACAAGGAAAGCTGAAGCGGACGCGGAGCGCCTACGGTCCGAACTGAACGAATCCCTGGCTCGGGAGAGCGCCCTGCAGGTTGAGCTGGCCAACCTCCGGTCGGAAAAGTCCGAGCTGCAAGATGCTCGAGAGGCTGACATGCTGAGGGACGCCCAGGAAGCTAGGGACACGTTCTGGACCTCCGACGATTACTGCATTGCCGACGATGCGAAGTATAAGAAGTTACTTCGTGACACTGTGGCCGCCATTCGCCATTGGTTCCGCCGCGAGTATCCAGAGGTGGTGTGGGAAACCAACTCCATATGGGACGCGGTCGAATTTTGGAGCGATGAGGACGTCAACTCCGAGTACGTTGCGACGCCACCTGTTGACAATGCAGCAACCACTGTCGTCGACCCCGCAGGGACCGCGGGGAACGTTGAGACCGTGGAGAATGTTGAAGCCTCCGAGGATGCCGGTGCTACCGGGGAGGAAGTCCAGGATGAAGAAACTTGAAGAAGAAACCGCTTGACTACCTTGTCTTTTTTCTTTGCTTTCAATCATTTCACTTTGCTGGTGTTGTAAACTAAATCTGCCTTGGGCAGTGGATATTTTTTGGCGTTTCTCCGAAATGCCTTCTATGGGATGCTTCCGTCTACTTGGTGTTTTTGATTTCTGCCGAGGCAACCAACCGCACTGGTGCGGTCGTTTCGGCCGCCACGGCTTTTTAGGTTGCTTGTTAGCATGGATTTGACACTCATGACACTTCTGAACCGCCTCCATCGCATCCTTCTTGACTGTCGGCCAGTAATACCCCTGCAGCAGTATTGTCCGCTCAAGGCTCCGCGGCCCGGTGTGTGTCGCGCACGTCCCCTGGTGGATTTCTTTCACCATCCACTTGGCTTCATCCGGACCAAGGCATTTCAGATATGCCCCCGAGAAGGATCTTTTTGCATAGCTGTCCCTCCACCATGGTATAATGAGCCGCTTTTCGTCGCAGCGCCTTGGCTAGGAGTGCATCTTCGGGGACAACGTCATTTTGCAGGTAGTCGATCAAGGGAGACCGCCAGTCGCGACTCTCTTCGTTAAGGGCCATTACCTCATAGGCTGGGGCCGCTTCCTTGGTCACTATAAATCGACGCTCCCCTTCGAAGTCCATGGCGGTTGCCAACTTGGATAGGGCGTCAGCGTGGTGGTTATCTTCCCTTTTCACATGCTCCAACTTCCAGGAGTCTAGCTGTGATAGAATTCCTTTAACCGCTCCAACCAGCTTGGTGAGCGCCTCCTCTTTAACTTCGTAACTCTCCAGCACTTGGTTTACTACTAACAACGAGTCGGAGTAGATGTGCAGATGCGATGCCCCCATGTTAACCGCTATCTTCAACCCACTGAGGAGCGCTTCATACTCCGCCACGTTGTTGGTCTTTAGCTCCAGGAAACGGTGAGATATTTCATGCACTATGCCTGTGGGGGTTTCAATTACTATTCCCGCTCCTGCTCCTCTCTTTCCAGCCGCCCCGTCCACGAAAAGACGCCAAACTTCAGTCTCTTCCTTTGCATCACTAAGGCCGAAGCCCTCCGCAATGAAATCTGTCAGCACCTGCCCTTTGATGGAGGGTCGCGGGGCGTATGCAATATCATACTCACTGAGTTCAACCGCCCACGTGGTCATTCGACCCAACACATCCATTCCCTTCAGGATTTTTCTCAGCGGAAGATTTGAGAGAATGACTACAGGGTGCTCTTGAAAATAGGGACGGAGTTTACTTGCGGCTGTCACCACTGCTAAGACCGCTCTTTCGATTGGCATGTAACGTCTTTCTGCTGGGAGGAGCGCTTTGCTCACGTAGTAGACGGGAAGGTCTGAGCCATCGACATCCCTCCGGACTAGGACTGAACTGACCGCTTGATCAGATACTGCCAGGTAAAGATACAACGACTCTCCTTGCTTCGGGGCGCTCAGCACGGGTGGAGAAGTGAGCTGTTCCGTTAACTGAAAGAATGCTTTATCGCATTCTGCGCTCCATTGTGAACGGTACGCTGACTTCTTAAGCATCTGGAAAAGGGTGAGCATTTGTCTGCTGCCCTTGGAATGAAACGACTCAAGGCGGCCATCTTTCCATTGAACGCCTGAATCTCTTTGACTGTCTGAGGCGGCCTCAAGCTCGTAATAGCTTCTATCTGTTTTGGGTTAGCTTCAATTCCTCTCCTGGTGATCATGAACCCCAGAAATTTTCCTGCCTTGGCACCAAACACGCACTTG